AGTATGTACAGACATACACATATGATTAAGACGGTAATGTTTCTTCATCTGAGATGATGATGAATGAATATGCAACATTTCTATCTATTAATATTATATTTCCTTAGTATTGATGTGTCCACTTGGAAATTTTTATTAAGATTTACTACAGTTGCATGAGCTCTCTAGAAGCAAAGTCTTAATCATTTGATGTGGTGACACATAATTTTCTTGAAACTGCTTGTTAAAATGAGTAACCATCTAGATTTCACATTCATTGCTGAGTATACCTGGGGTACATTGATCTGGGTAACATCTTGACAGTTTAATTTGGTGCTTGCTATATAAGCAGTCCATCAATTCCCTATTAATTTTGTGTTTTATAAACTCAAAATGAAAGATCTATAGATTTGTACTTACTTAGATTTTAGAGAACATATATATATCTGTATATGCACTTTTATGACTATAATGTTTTTTATTTCAATATTTTCTATGAAATAATCGAACAGGTAAGATGTTCAATTATTATTGTTTATACAAAGGTTTCCTTACAAAAAGTGGGAAAATAACATGAGTTTCAACTTGATAAAAGATATGAAAAAGAATATCTATGAGTCAAGAGGGTGAGGTATTTATTTGTCGTCATTGTGTTCCCCCCTTGTCGTCATTGTGTTCCCCACTTAAACATCTGTTTTAAGGGAGTGTGATCCCAGACAGTACGGATAAAATCTTTGTTAAAGTTTGGTGCCGAAAGTTAGAATTTGTCCCTTAATATGTACTAAGTGCAGATTTGTGAAACATCCAATGGTAATGCCAAAATGGGTTTGATGTGTTTTAGAAATCTTTGCCTAATTTTAGAAGATTAATAGGTACTGAAATTTTAAGAATTGTGACAATACTTTAAGATACCTTTAATCCTGTAACATGGCGCTTCTATAGTACCAGCAGCTGGTCACGCTAAATAACTGCTTCTCTGGTGGCAGTAGTGACCACATAGTCAACTAACCCTAAATAACTATTTTTACTATTTGTTTTTAAAAGCTAGCTTCCTTAGGTCTTGGCTTTAAAACATACTTGTGGCATTACCTTGAATAGACATTGCATACACATTACCTTGAATAGACTAGTACTGAGTCTATGTCTCAGAAACTAGTCTGTGTCTTACATGATCATTATTGCAATCTAAGTAGGAAGGAAAGAAGGAAATATATCAGTTACAGTCTCCTTTCAAACTACAGTGACCTCTTCAACTCAAGGTGGGTTTGGACTATATGAGGTTTGTGAGACTGATTATGAAAAGAAAGATTAGGTGAAGCTTAGACCCTTTAAACCTTTAAGTCATACTTACGGAACTTAGAAAGACAGTTGTTGTTAAATGTGATCACTGGTACATTGCTTTGCCTTTGAGGAAAGTTTTAACTAATCCAGAATAGGTGTCAACTATCTTATACTATTTCATAACATAAAGTAACACAGAAAGTTGAATGAATTTTGAATGTTGCTTTAAGGCCTTTCACCAGCTAATGATACGCCTAACTACAGGAGACACAGTTAATAACACCCTCCCTTTTTTTTAAAATCAGAGAAAAATTGATGTGTGTCTCATAAGTGGAGCACTCAAGGGACGAACACTCCAGCAGAGGGTTTATAAAGAAATGGAGGCTTGGAATTTATGCTATAAAAGAATTGTAAGAATTGTGCTAAGAATATTATAGCTAAGTAGAGGTATTAGGGGAAGAGATAAGATGGAAATTTGAATTGAGGCTAAGTACTGTCAAGGGCTCTTGACTTTTCTATCCTATTTGCTTTGGGAAGCCTTTCAAAAATTTTGAGCACAAAAGCTAGCAATTTGGCTGAATGTGCCTTATCAAAAGTGTTTGGTAGTATAAAGAAGGATAGATTGAACCAAGTATATCTATATGGTGATTTATGTTATCTATCTTACAATATTCATTATATTCCTTACTAATAAATCAAGGCTGGAATGCTGTCTTCCAAATAGTGCTAATTTTCAGGTAATTGAAAGTTCTTCAAGTGCCTTAGTTTCAGTTTCATAAGGTACAACTTTCTGAACTGTTATTCATGTCCCATTTTTAAAAATGGAATCTAACACGTAGTTTAGTTTAAATGTTGACACTGTATATCTATCTTCCCTCTTTTTGCTCAGTGAAACCATCCTCATTTGTCTGTGTGCTGCTTGTGGAGGCACTGTCTTTCCTTTCCCACTTGTAATTCTACCATAGTCTATTATATTTAATTTCATCATCCACTTTTCTGGTCTGTCATTGTAAATTAAGGAGAAATGAACAGTTGTAAAAAAGAAAGTAACTAATAATGAATCTTTGGTATGAATGTAAGATTAATGTAAGCATGAAAAGTGACTCTTAAGCAAAATCTTTGAACTTTGAGAAACGATAGGAAAAGATTTGCTGATTGCTATCTGCTTAGATAAGTAGTTTTGCTTACAATGTTGATGGCATTTTGATCAATAAATTTTAAATCTGAAACACTTAGAATTAATACTTAAAAACATTTATACTTAAAAACAGGTGTTCACATGTTACATGCAATGTACAGAACCACCAATGAGAAAACGATGAACTTTTCCCTAAGTGGGGGAGACATGTAAATAAATAAGCAAAAAGTATTAAGTTTTGTTTTCCTCAGAGTAAGGATATCTAATTTCATAATGGAAAATTGAATAATACGGTTAATTTGAACAGCTTGCTAGCTTGCTTTTATCATCTCTCCCATAAAGCAGTACTCTTTGGTAGAGGTATAAAAATGCTTTTTCTATTTCAGTTGATTTGTTTATGAAGTGTGTGTATGTGTGTGTGTGTAAATTTTGATTGGATTATTTTTTGAGATTTATTTATACAAGAACCAGGGCACAGACCAGATGCACGGGAGAGTGAGAGGATTCACCAGAGACAGAGTGGGGAACAGAACAGGCAGACTGACGAAATATACTGCTGAGGGGAGCAGCAGGCGAGGCTGGAGGGGATGGAACTGGCACTGCAGAGACTGCGGACAGCTTCACAGTGCTGTGCACAACCACCTGCGCCACCAGGGAGGCACTGGATAATTTTTTATAAGATTTTTTTGCTTTTATTTATGCATACAAGAACTGGGGTACAAGCCAGAGGTCTGGGGAGTGAGAGGACTCACCAGAGACAGACTGGGGAGCAGAACAGGCTGATCTATTGAAATACACTGCTGAGGGGAGCAGCAGGCAAGACAGGAGAGGTTTGCTGCACCATGTGGTTTTGCTCCCTAGTGTGGGGATCGAACTCATGCCACAGTGGCTCGTGATAGCCTGATAGTGCTGAGACTTTCACCCCTGCACCACCAGGGAGGCCCTTGTTTGGATTATTATAAACATGCATGTGTGTTTTGCTATTTGAAGTGGTGTTTAAATGAATCATTAAATTATGGTAAAGATACCTCTGCTGTAACACAACATACGCATTCCTGAAAAACCTCATGTCTGCAAAATCATGTCTGGAAAAAATACGGATAGACTATTCACTATGCAGCCTTATAACAGAGTACTAACAGAAACAACAATGATTTTTAAAACACTAGCACAAATTACCTTAACATAAATGGCATTTGTGTTAACCACTATAGACTGTCAGCCCTAATTGTCTTGAGGACATCTGCTTCAGTAGAAACTAAGTTTGTAAAAATTACATAATGAACCAGGATATAGTCATCTATGTTAATTGCTTTTTTTTTTTGAGAAGCAGTATATACAAGAGAAATTGTCTTTGTTGAGTGTTCATTTGCACCTTTAGTTTTCACTAGATAACAATGTTAGTCTCTGGGTTCTTGAAACTACTAAATTTGCTGTTAACTTTTTCCTAAAAAGGTAGTTGTTCTCGCCTTTTTTTTTCTCCTTCACATTTTATCAACACTTTCTCTTTAAGGAAAGTCTGCCTCTGATCCCTTCATAACATAGTGGGGGAAATCCCTCTAAACCATTGATAACTTCTGTATCTGCTGACATCACTGCCTTTCTTAATTGCACATATACCAGTTCATATTAGAGCAGCATCTTGTAGTTTTACAGTTTATGCTTTAGTGCAGGTAATTATAGTTACTTTGTTTAATTTACATTTTAAAAATGTTAACTTGCAAGTTCTTATAATGAGGATATTGTGTAGTTGAATTTACAAAACAGTTTGCAATGTCAGTCTCTACTATTGTGGTGGGCAGTGTAATATTTGACTTGTTTTTCTTTTAAAAACTGTTAATATATTTAATTAACTTTTTAATGTATTGGTAAGTATTACTTTTTTGAAAGTAATATTTCTATTAAGAGATGATCAGAATTGCGTGAATTAGTCTGATATTTTAAAGGAATGAAAACAATAATTTGCAAATAAATGAAGGACACTTTTAAAGAATGTGGATAAGAAATACGAATTCTTTAGTTTGTTTTTAAAGCTTTGAGGGTGAATTTTGTCAACTAATCCTATGGTTAAAAAGGTAAAAGCTATGTTTTATTTGCTCATATTTTCAAAGAATATTCTGGAACATTATTAAAAAATTGGCAACATTACCTCCAAGGAGAGGAATTGGATGTCTGTGGGGTGGAGGAAGATGGGAGGGAGTCTTTGAATTTTGAATTATGTTAGAAATAGGTTCACATTTTGAACCATGAGGTATTAGAAATAAAGCAAATTAAATTTAAAATGAAAACGAAAGTGCTTAAGTATAGAACAGAGATTGATTTAGCTTATCTAATAGTAACCACTTGATTTCAATGATCAGCTTAGCAGAGAGCCAGTCCTGTACTCACCAGTACAACTGGCACTCACCAGTTGGTTGTATGTATGGCAGGTGCAGAATAACAAAAGGATGACCAAATAAAAATATCGCTCATGTATTTTTTTCTATTAAAAGAAATCAACTCTTGTAGTTAAGTTGGAAATTCAACTGTTGGATAATTGCTAGATTTTTTTCTATAATCACAATGTCATTTTGTAAATCTTACTATCTCTGTTTGCTTTTAGTTGATGCTGATGAAATTAAAAGGCTAGGAAAGAGATTTAAGAAGCTTGATTTGGACAATTCTGGTTCTTTGAGTGTGGAAGAGTTTATGTCTTTGCCTGAGTTACAACAGAATCCTTTAGTACAGCGAGTAATAGATATATTCGACACAGATGGGAATGGAGAAGTAGACTTTAAAGGTAAGAAAGTAGTTTTTAAAATCTCACAATTTAGATAATCTACGAGTAGTCTTAAGAGTTTTATGTTTGAAAATATTTGAAAATTTTAGTTATTCTTCAATGTCTTTGTATTATTGGTGATTTTAGAATAATAGTGTATGTTTAAATTTTAAAATCTGTGCTGTATGAACCTTAACAAACTAAGATCTTTTACTTTGTGGCTCACAAACTATCATATTGCCCTATAAGATACTCTTAAAAATTAGGAGTTAATATTTGCTTTATTTTTAGAAAAGCCTCACTTTAGGGAATGTAATATAGGAAGCTGCATTATTTAAAACTTTTTTAAAAAGAATGAGACTTAAGTGAGCAATTAAAAATAAACAGCAATAAGGATATGAATACTTCTATAGAAGGGATGGATATATTTTAGTTAATGTACATTTTGTACTAAGATACTCAATAGTGCTTTTGCTAATACTAATGATACATAATTTTATTCTTGATTCTATACTTTAAACATTTTATTTCAGTGGTGAATCATGAACAGTTTGTTATTTGCTTTTCAGGAACTGAATGATTATAAGTGAAGGGAGCTAAAATTGATGATGATTTAATGTTTACCAGCAGTGAAGAAAAATGATCACTTATCATGAAACTTCAGTTTACTGAAGTGATTCTAAATGTTGGGATCAGAAATCCAAAATTATTTTTGTTGTTAAACATTAAACAATGTTTAATCCTTTTTTTTTAAGTCCTCCTTTATAATTATATTTCAAGAACATTACTAGCTTTAAAGAATGTTTGGGGTATTATGCTCTATGGTACTTATATGTTTCTACAACTTTGACTTTAGAGGACTCAAAGTTGATTTTATATATATATATTTGTATATATATGCTTACACATATATAATACATGACTATATAGACACACATATATGATCCATTATATGTGCGTATGTGTGTATATTTATGACCCTTTTTGCTATTTCATATGTGGCATTTTCATTATTAAATACTGCTAGTAATATTTTCTTTTACAGCAAGAAAAGGTCCTTTGTTTTTAAAAAGAAAATATCCACGTTGGTTTTCTGTGTAAAAAATTGAAATTTCTGATATGTAAACCTTTTCTGTTCTTACTCAGAATTCATTGAGGGAGTCTCTCAGTTCAGTGTCAAAGGAGATAAGGAACAAAAGTTGAGGTGTAAGTACTTTTCTTCATTGATTTCATTCTCCCTTTTATACCCACTACTACTTCATACTGCATTATAACCTCCTTGTAAAGCATTCTAAAAGTTTTCTTTTTATTCTAGATTTTTAGTAGATATTACAGGAATGTATTTGCAACTAGTATTTTTAATAATGTGCCATTGTAGGTTTTAGTTGAATAGAAAGAAAATGGAACTCATTTTTACTGAAAACAGTCAAGTTCAATATCCTACTTGGATAAGAGATTTTTTTGTTGTTGTTCATGATGAAAATAGGGAGAATTGGTCTAATATGATTAGATTAACTTAGTTTACACACATTGAATTCAGAAATAGCTAGCCAGAAGTCCACTATTTTGACTATGATAGACAACCTCTATTGCAGTGATCATTTGATACCTTTTAAATTATTCAGCTCTTAACTAGAGAGACATTTTATTGAATGACCGTTCTCAGGCATAGCGTATATAAGATGTTTATCTTACGCAAATTAACTCTTGATATAATTGAGAGTAGTAATAATAGCAGTTGGTATCTTTTATTGAGCTTTTACCATGTATCAAACTTGTGATATAAACTGTTCACATGTATTACTCACTCATACACTAAAAAATCTGGGAGGTTGGAACTGTTCCTAGCCCCTATTTTACATGTGCAGAAACTGAAGTAAGTTAAATAACTTGCCCTAGGCTATGCCAGTTGGCCTGTGCAGTCTTGATTCATAGCCTATATTCTTAGCTATGTTAAGTTGCGTCTAAAGGTAACATCTATATTCATGAAGGCTCATAGTTATGATTCTAGATGTTTAGCAGTTTACTATGTTCTTTATCAAAATATTTACTTATTATTGCCTTATAATTGCCATTGATTTTCCTTACTTTTCTTTTTAGTTGCTTTCCGTATCTATGACATGGATAAAGATGGCTATATTTCCAATGGGGAGCTCTTCCAGGTGCTGAAGATGATGGTGGGGAACAATCTGAAAGATACACAGTTACAGCAAATCGTAGACAAAACCATAATCAATGCAGATAAGGATGGGGATGGAAGAATATCCTTTGAAGAATTCTGTGCTGTAAGTATAAAAGAGTAGAGGTTTTTCATTAGTTGTGTTTAAAAAAATTGTTTAAACCACTTAATAGAGCATTTCTTATAGCTATTTTGCCCTGGAATTTTGCATTTGTTCCTTATTAAACTTGCCTGTTGGGCAGTATAAATGGTGAGCTCCCACCCCAGCCCTTTCTAAGTTATTGATGGGTGTTCTTGTGTTTTGGGGCAAGGACTCTGCAGAAGCAGGGACTAGAATCATGAGGGGGCCCTAGAAAAGTATAGGTGAAAATTGGGGTAACAGCTCAGCTTCTGGTTTACTGCTCATCTAGATCCAGTGATTTGCCACCATTCATTGCCTCCAAATAAAAACACAACCACTTAGCTTCTCTTCTCAACTTCTGTCCCTAAAGCAAAGATACTAGGTTTTTTGATGTGTTCTAAGGGTATTTTAACTGCAAATTGGAGCTACTAGAGAATTTAGAGGAGAAACAAGATAACAAAAAATTATTGAAATTTTCCAGTCATGACTTGTATAGGAAAATTTCCTTCCTCCTTTTTCAGGTGTTATTTTTTTTAAGACCACACAGGGAAAAACTAATGACTTTGGTTGTATGTAATGTAAGAACTGAAGTCGCTACCTTGGCGTTTAAGTTTGTGTAATCCTTTTAGTCTCTTCTTTCATCTCAAGGTAGTACTATCCTTGTATTTTATTTCAAAAAGTATGATGGTGTTCTAGTGTAAAATATAGGCTAAGTCTTTTGGGAAGAATTAGATAGACTTCAGACTTTGAACTGCTGCCAGGTGGTACTGATGCAAGTGTTTGTTATCCTTTCATTTCTCCTCTTCATTGTTGCTAAGTATCACTGAATCTTCCTGTGGACTGGCATCAGATTGAGTGTGACCATAGACCAGACTGGTAGTGGCATTATAAATTGCAACCAGCTTTCAAAAGGAGAAAAAATCAGAACAAAATCACTTGGGGAAGCAAGACAAAAATCATTTATCAGGGAGAGGAAATTAAAATACATCCTTAGTTATAATGGTGATAACTGTTTATACAGAGAAATAAGCTAAGCTTTTAGCTCTTTTTCTGGTATTTGTGATAAATTGCCTTTACTTGTGTTATTTTTCAGGGACATAGTCCAGGAATGGAGGGGGGGGGAGAGAGAGAGAGAGAGAGAGAGAGAGAGTGTGTGTGTGCAACTACTTTTTCTGAATATTGACTTTTTTTCTTATATCTTAAGCTTAAACAGTGAAAGAGATGGGAAAAGTTAATCACAGACTACATACCCACTTTTAAAATCTCAGAATACTTAACATATACAGATAAATCTTGTGAATGATTTAGTGACAGGATTAAAAGTGGTGGATTGAAACATGTGTATTTTTGTTTCCTCCCAAAACTAATGAAATTCGCTGTATTGAAAGGAAAAGTTTATGAACCCACAAGGATAAAGTGAAGAGCAGAAAGTATAGCAACTAAATTTGGCAGCTTACAAAGTTCGGTGGTTACCTAATCTAAGAGACGGGGAAATGAGTTCTAAGCTTTCCACTTGGAAAGTTGAGAAGCAACCTAAGTTATAATGGCACCTCTGAAAGGTTCAGAAATGGTGGTAAAAAAATAACTGAAAGTGGAGGTGATGGTGAGGCTAAAAACAGGAGAATTGGGCCTCCCTGGTGGCCTCCCTGGTCTCCATGCTGTCACCACTATGGCCTGAGTACTAATCCCCGGCCACAGAGCTAACCCACATATAGCGCAGCAGACCTCTCCAGTGTGACCTGCTTATCCCCTCAGCAGCGTATTTCAGTAAATCTACCTGTTCTGCTCCCCACTCTGTCTCTGGTGAATCCTCTCATCCCCCATACCTCTGGCCTACACCCCAGTTTGTCTATGCAAAAAAAAACCCCAAAAACCAGAAGAATTGCTTTACGGAGCAATTAGAACACTAGATTTTCTTTCCTATTCTGTTTAGCTTCTTTGCACTTTTTTTATTTTATGTATTTTTTACATTCTTTTTCATTTTTGCACAATGTATGTCTTTGCACTTTAGTGGGTGGTTGGAGAGGGTGAACTAGAGTCTGAAGGCTAGAAAACACAAGACATAGGTGGGTGGGGTGGGGTGTGAGTGAGTTGTGCCTTCTTGAGTGTGTTTGTGAACTTGCTTGCTACGAAATTAAGTGAAGAGAAGCATATTTGCTTCTTGACACCTCTTGCCTTCTTCTCTGACATTTAATTTCCCAGCAGCTAGACTTCAGGCAAAAGATGGAAGAACCATCTTTGGAAAATAAGATCTCCCTAAAGCAGTGTTCCCACCCCATAACTCAAAAATGTAGCCCAGTCAGTAGCCTTACCATGTACATGTAGTTTCCCATGCCCTTTTCCCAGAAGCAGAGAACCAAGGTATGCATGGCCAGTGAAAACTTTAAAAGTTAAATAAACATTTATCATTTTTGTCCTCAGGGATATATAACTATATTAAATTCTTGAAAAAAACTGGATAATACAGAAAAAAGTTTTCAGGCATTTGAATTAAATTTAGAAATCCATTCTAGGAGGCCTAACACCTGAATGCTAGTGATTCCAGAAAGAAAATGGAAGGGAGGAAGTCATCAAAAATGAATCAAGAAAATATCTGAGAATCAAAGTACGGAGATTCTACTGAAAGGACTTACACCAAGTTACCCAGCATAGTTTTTTAAAATAATATGGACACATTATCATGATATTTTAAAAAGCAGGAACAAAGAGATGATTCTACAAACTTCCAAAAGGCTGGAATAGAGAAGTGGGGAGATTTCATACAAAGATGCAAGAATCCTAACAGTAATCAACATATATTCAACTCCATGGGAAAATAATCTGCAGAAATTTTCACTTATCTATTACTTTTAAATATCTTCCAGAATAGAGTGACACAGGCCCATATTTGATTTTTGAGGACAATTCTTAAGGTAACATCTAGTTATCATTTAATATTAAACTACTAAAGGTAGGGATTGGCAAACTGTGGAGTGGATCAAATGGCGTTTAATACATACATGGCCTGTTTTGTATTTTTTAAGCTAAGAGTAATTTTTACGTTTCTTAAGGTTTTAAAATAAACTGCAAGACGAAAGTGCTATAAAAACTGTATGTGCTAAAACCTAAAATATTTTCTTTCTGATTCCTTTACAGAATAAGACAGAATAAGAATACTAATAACCCTTGTGCTTAAAACACAAGAAAATGCCTACTTTCCTGGGAGGCAAGACAATTTTTAAAAAGCCTGAGAATGCTTAAAGTAGTTATGTTTTAAAACTGTAGTTCCAATAAGGTAAATTAGTAAAAAGGAGTTTCGCAAATATAGCTAAGCTTAATTTGTTTCTGTCTGTTGCAGGTTGTAGGTGGCCTAGATATCCACAAAAAGATGGTGGTAGACGTGTGACTCTTTTTTAAAGAGTACCACCCAACACTTTTGCTTTCTTCTCCATCTCTGAAGATCTGCTCAAGACGTCCAGCAATGCTCTCTGTGTATTTAAATGGAAGTATTTTTCTCTGTGAAGCCACATTTTCCAACATGAGCCTCATGAAGCCAACTAAGTGTTATTGAACTCTTATTCTCTCAATAACTCAGTGTAGCACTTTAAAGTCTGAAGGACAGCAACATGAAAAGAGCATATCAATGTGGTGAAGAAAGGGAAGGGGTTGGCTTTTTAATTTATTTTTCCTCATCTTTTATAACAAGAAAGTATCTATATATACATATGTAAATATTTATATATAGATATATGTAGCTTTCTATATGTGTAGTAGGTTGGCTTTAATTTAATATACTTGATTCAGAAACAAAATGATAGAGTATAAAAGTGCCAAGCAGAACATAAAACATCCTTACTTTTATTTCACACAGTTTTATATATAGATAGAAGATTGTACAATTGAGCCGGGTGTTAGGCCAGCTATTTTCCTTCTCCTGTGCTTTCTCCTTTGAGAGATTGACAAAGCATTTGTTAATGTCCTCTTATTTACCTTAATTACATTTTTGTAACAAAGGAGTTTGTACTTTATTTATACCTATGAATATATTTCCAGGGACTAAATCTCATTGTTGAGCAGCTTTTAACATAACTCTGCTTGAGGAGAAAGTATAGTTCCGTGCTACTGCCAAGAGCTCTTTCTTGTGTTCATATAGAAACTGCAAGGCTATGGCTGCATCATTGTTTCTTTATAGCTAGGAGTCATTACATTTATTGAATGTCCCTGAGTGAAATGTAAGTTATCAGTTGTGATTTTGCGCATAAAAGCCAGAAGCTGAGGCAGTCATTTATTTTAGACATTATTTAATGACAAGTATTTGAAGTAATTATGTAATTGCTTAGAATATCCACTTGTTTGTTTCATTACATGGGTAAATAATTTATCACTAAACTTATGTTCGAACTATAAGTTTCCCTTCTGTTTCAGAAGACTTGCAGCTAATCTGAAAACTGGTGATATTTAATGTGCATGTATATATCTGAAACCCCACATGTATAAGTGATTTAAATGGGAGAAATCTTACTAATCTATATGCCACAGAAGAGCAAAATTTTATCTTACCCAGTTTTTAATCTCTTAAATTTCTTTACCCCAAAACATAAAGTGCATGATGGTTTTCTTTCTTGATTTGCCCATATTTGTATATGAATAACAATAAATTTGTGTGATATAAAAGTAGTGTATCATGTTCCACCACTTGATATTATCCCTTCCCTTTTCTGCAAAGGTACTATAGTGCAAACAATATTGGCTGGATGAAGACATTTTGGTTAGCTTTCTAGGACAGTAGTCTTTCCCTGTATAGTTTTTCTATAAAAACTGGTTTTATACATGAGTGGAAAAGGGCAGGTTGAAACAAAGTGAATGAATCTTAAATTGGGCACCTGCCTGCCATCGCTGTTCCTTCAACTGAGTGCTGCACATCATGGGCTCTGTCTGTGAGAGAAAAATCCCGGTGCTTGGTGTCCTTGCATGACATGGAGTTTTGCATGTAGATCTATTTAAAATGTACCTCTCTTGTTTACATAATTTGCATAATTTTAAAAGATGTTGCCAAACTTTGGAAATGTTAATGTTCAAACTGAAAAATCTCCACTACATGTAACTTTCTTCCTCTGGATCAGTACGTGGCTTATAATCCCAGCCAGTGGTTTGATCTGTTCCAGTGTCAACTGCCATGTGCTCTGCTTCAAGGGGAAACTAGTCTTTTGTGAATTTTTTGTACATAAGTATTTGTTACAAATATTTTAGCAAATGCTTTCTATTCTCTTGCTTGTGCATATCTTGGCTGGCGTTACAGCAAAATAGTGCAAACATTATTTCCTTACTGGGGAATGAGGGTTTCTTTTTTTCTTTTTTTTTTTTTCTTAGTGTGTAGGTGGGTGGGGGAGGGGTGGTTTATGTTGAATGTTTAGTTTTTCTTCTGCATGATACATCATGTTGTGGGCTCTTTAGAAATCTTCATACTGTATGAATAAGAAAATAAAATATTTGAAACTTGCTTGAGTATATATTCACAGTGGTCTTTGGTGGGTTTTAGCACTTTTTTTATTCTTTTGGATTTTTAAAAAACTGATAAATGGATTTTTGATCTTTGACTATAAGCTTTAAGTGAAAAACCTACAAAGCAACCTACAAAGCCGTATCCTATCCCTTTACTGCATACACTCTTCCTCTACTTCCAGCTTTCTTAGCCTCCTTGTGATTCCTGGAAGCTCTTGGCTTGCTGCAGCTGCAGGACTTAGCACTGTTTCTTTGCCCACTAGATATCCCATCACTAATCCCTTGCCCACTAGATATCCCATCACTAATCCCCTCAAGTCTTGTGCAGGTACACCCTGCGTAACAGGAACTTTCCCCCGGCCACTGTGTATTACAATAGACCTACCTGGTCTCCATTGCCCCACTCTTTCCTTCTGTTGCACTTACTCTGACTTAACATATATTTTGATACAACATATTTTATATATTTGTCTTACCCAGTTATTGAAATAGAATGAAAAGCTCCACAAAAGCAGTGATTTCTATTCCTATTCACTGATGGACCTAATTTCTAGACTCCTACCTAGTTCTTAGTATTTGTTGTGTAAGTAAATTAGTAATATGAGACACCTTATTTACACAGATTGTGATTTCAGAATAAATTCTATTTAGTACTTATCATAAAAAGTAAACTTCTTTTTGACATTTGCATTCAACAACTTGAACTTCATTCAGCAACTTTAAAGATTTCCTACTATATGTCTAGCCCTATAATAAGGATTTGCGATACTTGTGACAAGCAGATGATATACCTGGCACAGTCTCTAGAACATTCATATTGTCAGGTTAGGAGAGACATTGCACATCCTGTGGCTTCTTAGACAATCTAGGAATAGTTAGCTAAGCCTAAATCAACTGATGCACTTAAGCCCTGAGTCTTCTATACCTAGTTCTGGTAAGTTTTTTTTGTTGTGGTTTTGTTTTTGTTTTTGTGGGACCCTCGCCAGCAGCAGGGGAATGAACTGGTGCTGCAGAGGCTGTGGGCAGCCTTGCAGCCCAGCGCTCAATCGCTGTGCCACCAGGGGAGGCCCAAGTTCTGATAAGTTTTTAAGAATAGAAAAGACTCAGGCCCCCACTATGGCGCAGCAGTTGAGCGCGAGGCTGCCTGCAGCCTCTGCAGCGCCGGTTCCATCCCGGCCACCGGGCCAGGGTCCCACATGGCACGCAGACCTCCTGCTGCCTGCTGCTCCCCTCAGCAGTGTACTTCGTCGGTCTGCCTGTTCTGTTCTCAGCTCTGGCTCTGGTGAATTCTCTCACCCTCCCGCGTTTCTGACTGTGCCCACTACTTGTATAAATAAATAAATAAATCTTTAAAAAAAAAAAGAAAAGAAAAGACTCAACAGAGTGAAATAGCAATCCACAAAATATTTTTCTCATCTGATAAAAGATTGCTTTCCAGTATGTAAAAAATTCCTACAAACCAATAACAAAACAATTTTAAACTGGGCAAAGAACCTGAATAGATACTTCTACAAAAAAAGATGCTTCTTATGGGAATGCAACTCAAAACTATATCCATTAAAATTCCTTTTACTCAAAAAAATGCTGGTGGAGAAATTGCAACCCTGGTGCTTCGCTGGAGGGAACATCAAATGGTACAGTCACTAGAAGTGTGGCAGTCTTCAAGTTAAATACAGAGCCGCCATAGAAGCCAGGAATTCTACTTGGTATGTATATCCAGAAGTGAAAGCAGGAATTACACATATTTGTACACCCGTATTTACAGCAGTCATGTTTACAAAAGCCTAAGGTAGAAGAAACCCAAATGTCCATCACTCCTACTTTTCAAAAAGATTAGGTTTGATACACACATTCTCCCCATGTTGCTATGTTACAAAAGGATGAAAATCAATTTGGAGTGGGACATTTCAAGCAAGTTTCCACTGGATTCCCACAGTAATTTTTAAAGTACATTCAATCCCATGCAATATACAAACGAGTTCAGTACATGTAACTGATAAAAAGGCAAAGAAGCTTTTTCTAGGTTTTGTTTTCCTTTTTTTTATAAGATTATGCATACAAGAACTGGGGTTCAGGTCAGAGAGGTGTGGGGGTGGGGTGATAGGATTCACCAGAGACAGAGTAGAGAGCAGAACAGGCAGACTGACTGAAATACACTGCTGAGGGGAGCAGCGGGCAAGTCAAAAAAGGTCTGCTGCACCATGTGGCTAACTCCCTGGCTGGGGATCGAACTCGTGCTGCAGTGTCTGCAGATAGCTTCATAAGTTGTGTCTTAACCCCTTGCGCCACCAGGGAGGCCCTTTTTCTAGCTCTTAGACAAACTTTCCAATATTCCCACCATTAAAGTTATAAAGATTTGGGCAAGAGTTTTCAAGATGTGTGAGAGAATATAGTATCACAGTCAAGTTCAATGAAGTTAATTTATTTTAAAAATGCATTAAATGAATACTTAAATAGGCAGACACTAGTCAAAACAATATTTGCAGAACATTGTAGTAGTTTTCTTGTGGGAAAATCTCCCCATATCTCACCTTTACTTCTCTTGAAACATACCCAACATTGGCAAGGTCTGACTACTTTCCTGACTACCTTGAAAAATAAAACTCTTTCCTTACATCAGCCTGGTGATTTAGGTCTTTGATTTTAAATTTACAAACTGCAAAATAGAAATACTAGCCTCTTAGGTTCCCACTACAGCTTATGACCTGACTAAAATATTTAGTATCCAGTATTCAACTAAGGATCTTGATTCAGAGGTTTTCTGAGATCACTCTTTAATACCAGCTCATAACGAAGAAATGTTTATAAATGTATAAGGTGGTGAATTTATAAAGTACAAATTCATACACAACTGTTTAAACCAGAAGTCCCCCTCCAAATGAATTATAAGGTAGGCAAACTATAATAACGGTACAATATTTTGATATTTAAGTTATCCTCAAAGCTCTTAAATGTGAATACCATTAAAATTTTCCTTTAACCAAGGATTAAAGTGACTAGAAAATTCACGTGGTTTTTCCTGTGACACTCACAGAGGGGTAAGGTCTTTAAAGTCCAAACAGAAGATAAGTCTGATTTGAAATCAGAATCGATCTGCTGCTCTGCTAGCCACAGCTCGAATATTGCCATAAACCTTGGATGGAGGATTTCCTGCAGGGGGAAAAAATAATTGTTATACAAATAAACTTATACATAGATGCTACGTGGAAAATGGTCTACAACCCTGAAAAATAACGGGACATTTTCCATTGGGCTTATCTTAACAAAAGAATACGCAACCATTAAGGAAAATATAATGAAATATTCTCCAGCAAATATTTCAAATCCTAAGAGCCCAAAGCTCCAAGTTGTCAAAATATTGCAAAAAGAAGCTACTGGGTCAGATCTGGGTACCACGGGAGAATCTAAGTGTTTTCTGAGAAGCTGCTACAATCCTGACTTTGCTGCAGTCAATTAAGCTGACTGATGCTGTTCAGCAGCCCCCCTTTTGTTGAACCTAAAACATGACACTGCCTGCTATTCTGAAATGGCTCTTGTGTCACCTTACCAGAGGAAATCAGCAATGATTTAAGCAACATAACCTAATACACCCTTTCTCTTCTTTAGCAGGCAGACAGGTTCAGAGCAAAAATATTCCTACTTTTTCTAGGCCTGCATTTGTCAACCTCCGAGAGCTGCTACTTGTTATCTTTAACACTACTCTTATCCTAAACTGATTTGCAAAGGTAGTTTGAGTCCCTAAATTCATTCTTTTCTTTCCAGAGAAAATCAGAACACCCCAAAAAAGGAAACTGCTATTACCCAGGATGAGGTTGCAAATGGCAGTCCTTGCCATCTTGATGTTTTGGAAAGAGCCGAGGATGTGAACTTTCCTGCAAGAGACAAAGTAAAACAAGTGAGCAACAAAAAAGCCTGTCTTTAGTACAGAAACACTGGACAATCATGATACAGATTCCTAAATAAAGGGGGTAGTGACAGCTGCACACTCTGTACATATATTAAAGACCATTTTGAAAGGGAGAATTTTATGGTATGCGAATTATGTCCCAATAAAAAATTATTAGAAAAGAAAATGCACAAAAAATAAAAAAAGTTCCTTAAGATTCTTGAGTATTAATTGTGCTACAATTAATACAGAGTGTTACTATTTTTGAATAATATTAATACATACAGAGTGCTATTAATACAGAGTGCTATTATTTTTGAATTTTTTGTGTGTATGACAGTGTTAAAACAACACTGAAGATTACCCAGTCTCTTCCATTCTTGGTTTCCCTTATTTCATGTCTTCTGACCACTCCAGTGAGCACTATGTGTCAGAACTTTATTTACATGTTTTCATTTAATCCTCACTTGCGTTTTATTATGTAGGTGTTACTTCCATTTTACAATAAGGAAAGAAGTTTATAAGAAATCAGAAATTCAAGCTCAAACACTGGCAGGGCTGGATTACTGTGACCCCAGGTAGTCAAATACTACTGTACTTAATTAAAACATCTTTGGGTGTCAACTGTAAACTTTTAAAAGGTTATGTAAATTCTTCAATACTCAAGAGGATCATCGTGACCTTTTTAATAGGCATTCCTTGCTGAATGACTCAATAAGATCAAGAATACAGCATTTTGCCTTTTTGAGCCCACCTCAACAAAACTGGCAATGGGAACATTAAGCAGGACTCTCTCCCTCATAGGCTGCTCAGGTATTTCTGAAATCGGGACAAAGTGAGATTAAAAATTAGAGAATTAGTTAAAAGTCTGTTTAAGACAATCCCCAGATTTTCTCCACACTCCATGTGAATAGGCAACCTATAATTGTGGCAAGGTTATGGGGAAGAAGAGGTGGTTTACCAGAGGAAGCAAAAGACATGATGAGCAGAGCAGGGGTACCAGGCACAGCTGAAGTAGGAGCACCATGTTTAAAACAGGGGTGATGTCAACCAAACATCTGCATACTTAATGCTGAAGCACCGCCAAGTGTCCTCCATCACTGAGCTCCAAAAGTCTGGCAGCAAAGAGATGGTAACACTTCTCTGGGCAGCCTGTTCTGCTCAGTAAGGCTAAAATACCAAAAATCAGGGCTTCCCCAGAGAAAAAGCGAGGCTAATCACCACAGTGAGGCTCTAGTCAACCATCAGTCCTGCCCCCTCAAGCCCTGAGTTTCTATTTTGTTCTTTAACACCCCACTCTTTCCTTATGGCGCACACACTGGGGGTCTCGAGAATCTGATAAAAAATAAAATTCCTTAAAATAGAACATGGAAAATGAGAAAATAAAGACAGCAAAGTTACATAAAGCTAGAGTAGTTTTGCTACTAACCCAACCAAAGCAACAGGGCAGTAGCTGGCCTGGAATGTAGGTCTGAGGACACACGGGCAATTTTATTTCCCATTTGACATACTGAATAATTCTGGAATAACAGTTCTTAATTTTTTATCTTGCTCATATTATACTGTATTTTGACAGGTCATTAGCAACTCAATTTATAGGTGCATAGTAGTGCATATTATTAAAACATAATATAAACGGCTGAACATGGGAATTTCCAATTAGCCTGTTTATAGCAAAAACACAAGATAGCACATTTGATTTTGAGTAGTTTGTAAGAAAAATCTAAAAGCTGGCAGCACTCTTTCTGCCCACCTGTGACTGTACAGGTACTTGTTTTCACCAACTCTCTCCCTCCGCAGGGCAGCAGCTTCCTGCCTGCCCGTGACCTGTACCTGCCAGGACTTCTCTTCACTGACATCCCTCAGGGGAGGCAGCTCTCCTCAAGGCCGCCCACCTGCAACTATGCAGGCCTCTCTCAGCAAACCTGTCCCTTCTGGGGCAGCTCTTCCTGCCCGCTTATGTCTATGCACATGTCTTTTACCATCCTGTCCCTTTTCTAATAAACTTGCTCTTTAAATATCAAAAAAAAAAAAAAAAAAAAAAAACCTGAGATTAAAAAAAAAAAAAAAGTCAACATCTTGTTATTCATAATAGCCCCAAACAAAAACCCCAAATCCATTAACTGAGTGGATACACAAAGTGATGCATCTATACAATCTAGTAATGGACACTAACAAGAATTAAGGACATACTCAACAGAGAAACTCAGGGCGTCCCTGGTGGCGCAAGGGGTTAAGCACCGTACTATGAAGCAATCTGCAGCCAGCACGTGCTGGATCCCTGGGCTGGCCAGGGAGCTACCCACATGGCGCAGCAGACCTCTCCTGACTCACCCGCTACTCCCCTCAGCAGTGTATTTCAGTTATCCACCTGTTCTGTTCCCCACTCGGTCTCTGGTGAATCCTCTCACCCCACGCCTCTGAACTGGACCCCAGTTCTTGTATGCATAAATAAATAAATCTTTAAAAAAAAAGAGAGAGAAACTCAAAACAACATGGTAATTAAAAAGAAGTCATATTGCTGATAAAAGCATGCAGTTTGCAGCAACATGGATGGAGCTAGAAGGGATCATGCTCAGCGAAATAAGTCAGAAAGAAAAAGAAAAATACCGGATGGTCTCACTCATAGCAGGAATTTAGAAAACCTAAATAAGAGACCAGGAAAAAGACTAATCAATGCAAAGTAATAATCAAAATCAACAAGCAACTATAAACCAGAGACACAATGGGGGGGAGTAGGGATTGGGGGGAGAGGAAGAACTAGAGTCAAAATAAGGGGGGGTGCAATTGTATGGGGAATATAACCAAAATGAAAATGCATACATTGTACGAAGATGAAAAATGATGTAAAAATTATATAAAATATTAAAAATTTAAAATAAATAAAATACTTAAAAAAAAAGAAGTCATACACTGAAGACTACCTATTGTGTATTTTCATTTACATGCATTTCTAAAACTGGATCAGTGATTTTCTGGGAAAGGGATGGAGGTACACAAGGAACTTTTGGGAAGATGGGCCTGTGAAGATTACAGGACTATAAAATATGCCGAGAACTCACTGAACTGTATACTTAAAACAGGTGAAACTGACATAACCCATAAAACAGAGAAACTCAAACAACATGGCATGTAAATCATATTACAACAGTTGTTACAGTAGGCTCAATTCATAACAGATCACCATTATAATACACCTACCTTCATGTGAAGAGGGCCAACTACACTGTAATATATAGTACTATAGTTATCCTTAAAATATTAAAAAATACACTAAAATTTAGATTTTAAATAATAGTGAGCTCTCAGTTTACAGCAAAGATGAGATGATTTTAAATTATTTCTGGATTCAGTATCAGGCAGATCCCTTTCCTCTTAAGTCAATTGCTTTATTTCCCAACTTCCCAATATATAATCTCTGAGCCATCTGCCAATAATCCCAACCTAGCAACGGAGCAGCTTCACCTCAGAGTTGGGTAATCTCAGCCTGACTCCCAGCACTCTTATTTTAAGCCTGTAGAACATCTCATTTCTGTTTTTTAGTTCTTCATCCATTGATGAAGGTGCAATATGCACCTTTCCTTTTATGAAAGACCTTTACATATCTATGTGTAGACATACCCCTGTAAGGGTATACATACTTGATTTAAAGGAGAGCCTCACAATGGCATGTAAAACACCTATTCCTTGCTCTTCCTTACTGATTTAATAGATTCCCCTGAGATACTATTTAAATCTTCATGTCATGTCATTTCTTTCAATAGTGGTTCTAAACTTTTCCTTCATTGGAAAACTGACAAAAAAGCTATAATTTCTGAGATTTTTTTTCAGCTAACCTAACATGCTTTCAAAGGACATGAATATTCACCTAGAACCATATGCCAACAAGATTTAGTGGCAACTATGCATTAAATACACTCTTGATGTCTTTTTGAAACCAGCTGAAGGTCAAAGATAAACTTTGACAAGAATCATAGGTCAGATACTTACACATCAGCCAAAACTATCCGTGTCCGTGTCACATTCTCTATTGTGAATTTGGTTTTTCCTCCTTTGCCAGCGATCCTTCCTATTGCTCTCGACAGGTGGTCTCCCTTTAGGGGCTTCACTAAGTGAGAAAAGCAAGACCTCAGGAGGAAAGCTATTATAATACACAACCCACTTCCAAGTAAAGTTTAATCATTCAATTCCCCTACTAAAAGACACAAAATATACATTTTCTTGAAAGCTGCTCAAATATGAAACATATGTAATATTACAAAGCAATGTTACCTCCACAAGCAACTAAAAAATAAATAAAAGTTGCTAATGATACACCTTAACTGATGCTATTAGAAAGTTGAAAAGCTATTAAAAAGGTGACATCCTGACATTTGCAATATGGATGAATTTAGAGAGTATTACGCTAAGTGAAAGAAACCAGACGGAGAAAGACAAAGACTATGATTTCACTCATATTCAATGTGCAGAGAAAACAAAAGAGATGAACTATATAAAAACCCTAAATTTTTAGACTATAAGATCAATTAGTGATCAGAAGAGAGCAGGGAACAAGGGTGGGTAAATCAAAGAGGAACACTGTAAACTGAAGGGCAGAATTGGCATTTTAGTGACAAACTTAATATAGTACAGACACATTTGATTTTCAACGATGCATACCTGAAACATACATTACAATACAATGCCATGTTACTTTAATGTAAAAAAAATAGTCACACAATTCAAAGGCAGCAATACAAAAATAAAGTATTTCACAGAATATGACCACAATTCACTCACCATCTGTAATTTCAAAAGACTCCAGGAAGAGGTCATCCAACCTAATGAGGGCCAGTGCATCCTATAATATAAAAACAATGTTTAGATATCCAAGAATGATGTTAAGCTAAAATTCACACATTGTACAACTTAGAAACATTTTTTAAGGGCCCAATCCACTGTAACCTTTATATTGAGTATATATTTTTATATATATTTTGAATATATAAATTCAGCCCCCATTTCATGTATCATGAAATCACTCACCTCCACCTGAAACCCGAGAATGAAGGCTTTCACAAAATCAGCTGCTTTTGTCAGAGCACTGACATCCTTGGTTTCTTTGCATGTCTGTTTTTGTAAAAAAGAAGACATATAACAGTTGGGGGCAAAAAAAAGATATTTTAACAAAAGAATAGAATTGATCGTCCCCATTACTATAATTTCCTTCATCATCACCCTTCCCCAATATATTCTCTAAACACTCAGTTTTGGGGGAGGACAAGGACTATTCAATTTGCACAACAAAACTTTCCCAGCTCAAAGTAGAGCAGTTCCATGCAGACTGCCAATGACTGATCTCACTCAGGGATTAACAGCAGGATTCCTCTGCCACAGCCCAGTGGCTCACACTCAAGCTTCTGTTCTCAGTCCATGGCCCATCTATCAGTGCCCAAGCTGGTCCTCTTCTCTTCTCCTTAAATGCAATCTTTCTAAGATTTCTGATCTAATCTCCTGATTTCAAACATGTGTATGCTGATGTTTCCTAAAGCAACAACCCCAGTGCTACCAATAATGGTTAAAGCAGAGATCATGCCCACAAAGTTTATTTAATAATCACAAAAATTGCAGTTATTAAAAATGTCCACCACTGAAAATGACATGCACTGCAAAGATGCTTTACATACTATAGTTCTTTTTTTGGGGGGGGGGGTAAAGATTTATTTATTTATTTGTTTGTTTATTTATTTATGCACACAAGCACTGGGTACAGTCAGAAGCGCAGGAGGGTGAGAGAATTCACCAGAGCCACAGCGGGGAGCAGAGCAGGCAGAAGGACCAAAGTACACTGCTGAGGGGAGCAGCGGGTGGCAGGAGAGGTCTGCGAGCCATGTGGGACCGTCCTCCAGTGGCCGGGGATCGAACTGGCGCTGCAGAGGCTGCGGGCAGCTTTGCAACCCAGTGCTCAACCGCTGCGCCACTGGGGAGGCCCTACATACTACAGTTCTAATTTTCATGACAATCCTTAATTTTAAGTGACATTCCTGTGGCTTACATATGAGGAACCAAGGTATTAAGATGTGAAAAAGGTAACATTCGAACACAAATCTGGTTCCAAAACACTTATTTCCACTTACCCACTGACTCACAATCTAGTTGTAGAGACCACATTTGACAAATTTAAAACTGTAACAGGGTTGTACAAAGAAACATTTAAAACTAGATCTCAGTTCTAGTCCCACATGTGACCTTGAGTAAGTCCCATGGCTACTCCACATCTTAAGTCTTCTCATCGGTAAATGGAGGTGGTCAGTAAAACATCACACAAAAACGTTATTGTACCCTGTCAGACCCAACTTATGAATACAGCTAATATTATGCAGATCTAGTAAGTCTAGCAAGTGCAGATTTTGAAGGCATTTTGAGAAGTTCAAACTCACTATATTAGAAAGCTGGGGTAAGTAAACAGTTAACAAAGCACATCCTAGTAAGGAAAGTCTACTCATACATTTTCATGCCTGTAGGAGAAACTCTAATATATTTGGAAATATATGACTGCCATTCTGCTTACCCTGATTTCCACATTTCTCGATTTCAAATTAAAGCGTATTTGAAGTCCCAAATGTTCTACAATTGGAGTAAAAATCTTCATCCAATTCTCTTTTAAGGGCGTGTACCTGTTAGCTGGGACCGGAATTTTCCTTGTTTCTTCTTTCCCACCCTAAGAGAAAAGAACACACAACTCAAGCGGTGTCTGGAGAAATGCGGGTGGGGTTGCACAATGACAGCTGACCCACAAAAAGCTCCCTTTAAATTGAATGAATTAACTTCACGAAAGTGGCTTCCCTAAGAGGCTCAACTCAGATGAGTCCCCCCCCATATATATCTTCAACCTCACCCAGAAACCATCAGCTGGACCCCACTCTGGCCCTAGCTCCACTCCCGTTCTAGGGTCTCGGACAGTACCAGGAACGCGTCCCCGGAGAGGGGCGGGAAGACGGGTCTCTTCGCTGGCCGGGCCTCCTCCGTGTCCATGCGCCCAGCGTCCCCGCTTTCCCCCGCCGCCGACAGCTGCTCGGCCTGCCGTTTCTTTGCCCGCCGACCACTCTTGCGGGTGACCAGGGTGAAGCCGTCCTGGGCTACCGCGCTCTGGGACTCCATCTCGGTCTCCATCCCTAGAACTTTCAGCCCCACGGGCTCTTCCGGCTCGAACACGTGCGCCGCCGCACCGCGCAGGCGCACCTCCACGCGTCCCCCGCCCCTTACGCCAACCCGGCCCTTTCCTGGGAAGCCCCACGCAAGGGACCTGAAACAGGATTTGGTATAAATATGTTTGGGAGGAAGTGGGACCGCCCTAACATATGCCTGATTGTTATGGTCTCCCTCTGGTCCCGCCATTCACATCTAAAGTATTTTTTGCTCTCTGAGCTGTATGTGTACGAAAGGCAGTAGGTAAAGTCGACAAAGGAGTTTGTACCCTTGCTGAGCAGGGGGCTTGTGTGATTCACTACACGACAGGCATCCCTGTGGACAGCTAAACCTAACTGGCTAGGGCGTCGGGGGCCGAGTACGGCAACCGGGAGAGACAAACAGTCTTCTCTGTTTGGAGTTTGGTTTCCACGTTAGTGTATTGGAGGCGTCCGGGTGTACCGGTTTGCGAACGTGAAGTTGGCTGGAACATGTCGGCCTTTGAGAAACCTCAGATTATCGCCCATATCCAGAAGGGCCTCAACTACACGGTGTTTGATTGTAAGTGGGTGCCGTGCAGCGCGAAATTCGTCACCATGGGCAACTTTGCGCGGGGCACCGGCGTCATTCAGCTGTACGAGATCCAGCAAGGGGACCTCAAGCTGCTCCGGGAGGTGGGTGCCAGGTCGACACTGCCCAGTTCGAAGATCTGGGACTGCTCTTGGGGGCGAATGTGGGTCAGGGATGAGGGACTCTGCATTCTTTTCTTGCTAAAACCTTAGTCCAATGTCCCCCAAAGCACAGCTCGACTGCACGGGACTAGCAAAGCTGATCGCAGACTGAGGAATACTTCCAACGTAATAAAAACACTTGTGGTTCCGAGTCCTGAATCCTCTTTGGTGAGCTAGTTCATCCGTTCCCTAGCCGGCCACTTTCTCCAGCCACCCTCGCATCGCGCGCTCTCGGAAGCCCAGCGATGGGGAGTTTTATTAAGAAACAGGACGGGTAAGCAGGACCAAAAGTTTCAAAGATCTGTAGATCTGCAGCTTTTAAAGAGATTTTTTCTAAGAAAAATGGAACAGTATTGAAGGACATTAAACTGGGTGCAACAAGAAACCAAGTTAAGACTTGGTTTCTAAATTCGAGGCCTTCCTGGGCAATGCGCACTTGTTTGTGGAAGATCTGTTAATAGATCCATGTTAGTCAAATGTTCTTCGAAGAAGCAGAGTCAAAATAGCCACCGGGGTACCTACAGTGTAATTGAAAGAGACGACCTAACATATCTATTCTCTCAGCAAGTATCAGTATATTGTCTGGTATCCTAGGCATGTGAATGACAATGTCCCCACTCAATAGTTTACTTTTTAGTGGGAGACTGTTAAGTAGTCAAACCAACGGTACATAAATGCAAACCTGGACGAATTCTTTTAACATAAAGGAACACGTTCCCGTGAGCGTAAAAACAGGTTTGGGATGAATAGAAACTAAGCCAACTTTGAAGTAGAGATTTCCAAACCAAACAGCATGTTCGGAAACAGCATATTTGCAAGCCCAGCGATGGGAGAGTTTTATTAAGAAACAGGAGGGGTAAGCAGGACCAAAAGTGTCAAATATCTGTAGAGCTGCAGCTTTTAAAGAGATATACCCCTTTTTTTCTAAGAAAAATGGAATAGTATTGAAGGACTTTAAACTGGGTGCAACATCAGGTTTACAGGTTTTGTAAAGATCACAAGTGAAAGAACTATAGAATAATATTCCCTAACAATTTTATTTTAAAAGAGTTGATTTGGGCTGCCTGAAAACAAATAATCAGTCATAGTCAGCTGTTTAGGGCTGTAAACCCTCAAAAACCCTAGGTCAAAGTAGACATCAGGGAAGATTGAGAAATGGTAGGTATGTAAAGCTATAATCTACATCATCCCACTTAGAATTTCTAGGATTGCTCGTTTTCTTGTTTAGTTTGCCCCTTCTAGCCAGGCATTCTACTCAGTTTCTAACCATGACTTTTTCTTTTCCACTTTTCCTTATGCTGCCACTCAACCCCCACTTACCTGTTGCTATTCTAAGGTTCAATTCAGATTATTTGATTTATGAAGTCCTTCCTGAACCTCATGCAAAGTGAGTTATCTTTATATTGCATTCAGTTGGTACTTAGTATCTCTCTGACAAATATATCATTCTGTCCACTTACTCTAATTAGATTGTAAGCTCCTGGAGAGTGAGAAAAGATTCCTAAGTGTGGTTTGTAAGGAACAGCCACTCAATAAATGACTTGTTGAAAGAACGAGTGAATGTATGTGTGTAAAAGGGTGGAACTTGGGAAACTTAGATTTTTTTTTTTATTATTAAACAGTTGGATTGATGGGTTTGAACAAATGAGAAACATTGGCAAGCTAAAAGAAACTTAATAGGAAAAAATACCAATCAGAACTCAACAAGAGAGCCTCAACAGACTTGTGTCTTTTTAAAAATAAGAATTACATAATTTGGGTACATTTCAGGAGTACACTTGTTTTATAAAATGAAATAGTACTCTTAGTTTTTTTCTACAGATTCTAGGGAATTCTAGCAAATTTTTAAAATTTTGCCTCAAGTATTATGCATTCATGATGGAATATTTTAAAAATATAGATAGGAAAAAGAAGAAAATATCACACATAATCTTAACCCTAGGAATAGCCACTTTTTATATTCTACCTGTATCCCCTGAGTCTTCTGATTCTACGGTAAACTATCTATTGAAAACCTCTTATTTCAAGGTCCTATGCTTAAGAAGGATGAGAGGTAATTGAAAGATGAGTACCTTCTCCTAGAGAGCCTACTGTCAAAAGTGAGAATAAATCAAATGCAAAAACACCTATAAGAATTCACTGTATTGAACTGTGATGATACAGTGGAAGAGAATATAGGCAATCACAGGTTCAGTGATTCCGCTTATGTGCATCGGGATCACATGAGTATGTTTTTGTTGTTGGGTGTTTTTTAGTGTATATTTTTAAAATCTTAGAAATTCTGATGCAGTAAGACTCTTAATTTAGACTGAGGTGAGACCTGGGACATCAGTATTTTAAAATTTCCACCCAGGTGACTCCAACAAGTCCCAGGGTTGACAACCATTGAGATAGTTGAATTATTTATTAAAACACAATGTTGGGGGCCTCCCCGGTGGCGCAGCGGTTGAGCGCTGGGTTGCGAAGCTGCCCGCAGCCTCTGCAGCGCCAGTTCGATCCCCGGCTGCTCCCCGGCCACCGGAGGAGGGTCCCACATGGCGCGCAGACCTCTCCTGCCGCCCGCTGCTCCCCTCAGCAGTGTGCTTCGGTCCTTCTGCCTGCTCTGCTCCCCGCTCTGGCTCTGGTGAATTCTCTCACCCTCCCGCGCTTCTGACTGTACCCAGTGCATGTATAAACAAAACAAAGAAAGAAAGAAAGAAAGAAAACATGCCTCTCTATAAAAAAAAAAAAAAAAAAACACAATGTTGGGAAGCATGCTTTATCCTGTCATTGTGCATCTACTTTAAATCATGTGCTCCAAAGTCAATGCATCCAAGATAAAAACCTGTGAAGGAAGTAAATGGGTCTTGTTGGTGTCTTCCTAACATTGTTACTAAGAGGCTAGATGGGAAATGCAGGTAGTGTATAATTGAGTTTGTTTCTTCACACATAGCTATGGGCATGGGCTTAAGGGTGAGCAGAATCCCTGTCTTTTCAAGCTTACAGGCAGGTGACTTTATCAGCTTATAAAGGAATATCTTTTTTCTAATTGGCACAAAGGACTGGGATAGTCCTGAAAAATAGAATCATAGTTAGGGATGTTTATACTTTAAAAATTAGTATTACATTAATAAAGTTCTGCTTTTTTAGCCCCTGTGCCACTGAATTCACTGCTTGTTAACATTTGGTTGACTAAACCTTTTAATGTTAATTAAGTAGTGCCAGGATGTGGAGGAGGAAATACTGACAAGCTGTACTAGACCTACCCACAGAGAGAACAAAAATAGCTCTCTTGGAATTATCGATAGTGGCTTCTTTATTCATGGTAACTTATTGTAGCACAGAAAACCAACAGCTAGGTCAAATAGGACCATTGTTGATGGTCATTTTCAGTATCATGTAACCAGAGTTATTAATATATGCTGATTTTCTTTGTGGAACAAATTTCACAAAATAGGTCTTTTTTTAATAACCAGTTGGTTTTCTAGAAAATATTTTCTTCGAGAAAAAAAACCTTAAGCAACCACTGAATTCTTTACATCTTTTCTTTTCCAAAGGTGAAACATTTCACAGAGGCAGGAAGGGAGCCCTTTTCTGAACTAGAAAAAATTAGCTTCATTCCAGTGTCCTCTTAAATTACTGTTACCATTTCCATGAATGTCTGAGGAAGGAGAAAATGCCTCTGCTCGTATAAGTCCATTTGCCAGCATAGCTCAACCCTTTTGAGGAAAGTGCAGCCTTCACTGCTGTTTATTTGTGAGGTTTTTAAAATGTATATTTTGAGTTTAATTTGATTCTTGTACAATAGACCACTAGTATCTGTAAATCTCTTTATATTTCTTTGACATGAGAAAAGAGAGCATGAGAGAACCCTAAATGTTTGTTTATGCCTTATAAAAATATTAATGAAGGTGAAAATCAGAGGACACAAATCTGAAAGTAACTGTAATTCACACCCATGCTGTTAACTTCGCTAGCCCTTTCCATTTCTTGGGTACTTCTCATGACTGAAGTTTATGGAATGGGAGCTACATAATAAAACGTTTATTTAACTGATGACATATAGGCCCGGAGGCAGCCTGATTTGGTAGAAAGAGCTTGGAGTCCACCTGGCTCTAGGAACCTTGGGCACATCTCTTGATCAGTTGAGCCTGTTTCCTCATCTGGATTGGGGTGTTCCAAACACTCAGCCTCCAGAGTGGTGTATGCTAGAAAGTGAAGGGGTGGTCTGGTCTAGAACATCTACAACAGTATCTGATCTATAGGTGTTCAATATATGGATGGCATTTTCATAATTGCATGTAAATGACACCAGAAACTACTATATGTCAGTGGTGGGGTGGGAAAACATGGTGGGAGAAATTAGAATGTGAATCCTGCCAGTGGTTTCTCTCCAGCTCTAGCAGTGAGAAGCGAATAGATGTTCACTTACATTTTCATTCCACAAATGTAGATTGAACAGATTAAGATAAGGACCCACTCTCACAGTGCTCACATTCTAAAAGGGAAGAGGTAGAAAATTGAAAATAATAAATAATAATAAAATAATAAAATAATTCTGTTGGTAAGTGCAATGAAGATTAACAGTGTAAGTCCTAGTGAGTTGGGGGTGTTGCTTCTGCATAGAGGGGCCAAGAGACTTCCGAGAGGAGGTGACATTTGATCTGAAATATGAGCTGGGAGAAGGAAGACAGGATCATCTGAGGGAAGAGTACTGAGAATAGTAAATACAAATGCCCCAAGGTGGAAATGTCTTCTGAGTGTCTGAAGAAGGAAAAGAAGGCTGCAGGTGTGGCTGGAGGGTAGTAGAGAGAAGGGGCAAAAGCAGAAAATGGGGTCAGAGACAGGCCTTCTCATGCCATTCTTGTGAGTCTGTGCCTCTAAGTGTGGCTACATTTTTCTCACCTTTAGAATCATATTATAGAGAGTTTTTGCCCTTTGTCAAAAAAATAATAATAATAAAGGGATATACAGTGGGAAAATAATAAAAGTGATAATATCTAGGATAGGGCCTAGCATGTCATAGTGTGGTTCTCAGTTTGGTTTCTTGAAGGCAGGGAATTTCAGATATGCTTAGGTGTCAGAATATCTGTACATGGTGATGATGTTTTTGGAGCACCATGAAATATTGGATAGTTCTTTCTACACAAGGAAGACATTTTTCAGTAAAAAAAAAAATGACTATATTACACATAGTCTAATTGTTACACCACTTGAAGTATCCAGAGACAGAGTATATGTTGCAGGTATCTTATGTGGGAGGGTCAAGTAGGAACTGATATTTGGGTTGTAAATTCTTTGAGGTCATGGCTAGTCTTTGTATCTTCTTTTATTTTTTTAATTTATTTATACGGGAACTGGGGTACGAGGCACCGGAGGGTGAGAGAATTCACCAGAGACAGAGCAGGGAGCAGAACAGGCAGATGGACCAAGGACACTGCTGAGGGGAGCAGCGGGCGCGGGCAAGAGAGGTCTGCTGCGCCATGTGGGATTCTCGCCAGCTGGCGGGGATCGAACCAGCGCCGCAGAGTCTGCGGGCAGCTTCACAGTGCGGCACTCAACCCGCTGCGCCACCGGGGAGGCTGGTCTTTGTATCTTCTTATGCCTACTTCATTGACTTGTATATGGTAGCAAACTCATTAATGTTGGATGATTGAACTGGACAAGTCTATGAAGCTCTAGGCTATAGTCTCATAGTCTATGATGGTCTTCAGTGAATTCTCTCAGCCACTTACCTTAAATAGTGCATTGGTGTATGCTTGTTTTACTAATATGTTTATATATAGTACTTATATATAGAATAAAAAAACCCTCAAAGATTGGCTGATCCATACTAATATCAGTGCCTTTACTACACACAGATATACAATCTCCATGCATTGAAAGGATTCCAGAGAGAATAGGAGAAAAACATTTTCAGTATGGGGCTTTTCAGGGAAAGCCATAAGAGTCACATAAACATTTTTGTTCTTGTAGCTATCTGAAGGAAGATCTTTTCTATGCTCTCATATCTGGCAAGGACCTTAAAGAATACCACTTTGCTGAAATTTTCATATTTGTGAACTTGTGGAAATGGTAGATTTTTCAGCATTTAAATGTCTTATTTAAAGCAAGATGAGAGGAAAGGCAAATTAAATGCGTTATTTTTGACAGTTCCATACTTTTAAACTATAGAAAAATTACTAAAGGAAAAGTGATTTTTATCAAAAAAAATGCTTTAATAGTGTTTTATATTATGTGCCTTATTTAAATCCCATAATTGAGCCATAAATATCACAGATTATAAATAGCTGCTTACATAAATAATGTATCTTCTTTCCCTTCCTTCTATCAAGATTGAAAAGGCCAAACCCATTAAGTGTGGAACATTTGGTGCAACGTCTTTACAGCAGAGATATTTAGCTACTGGAGATTTTGATGGAAACCTTCATATATGGTAAGATTATTTAATCAGTATTAAGATACGAGATAAGAAATTTCTTTGATAGTCTCAATACTATTCCTCTGTAGAAGAGAATTCTAATTTTAAAATGTTTCTTTTCTTGTTCAATTTTAACTTTCTAAAAATGTCAGGGTAATCTTTTAATGTATATTTCTAGATTTCATTCATCAAACTCTTATTTTAAAATACTAACCTTTTTTTAGATTTCAAAATCAAATTTTATTGATTTGCTAGTCATATAAATTTGGGGGCTACAGTTTCACCTTAACATGTGCACGTGCTTCACTCACAGTCTCCCAAAGCCCCAGTGCCATTATGCTATCACATTTACCCCCTTCCCCTACTTCCCCCTGCATCTCCTCTGGTAAATACAGTATTTTTCAGAATCTAGAGTTGTTTGGTTGTGTTTGCCAATTTTTTTTTCTTGGTTTATTTATAATCCACAAATGAATAAAACAATCCAGTAACTGTCTTGCACTTTCTGATATATGTCACTTACCGTGTCTCCTCAGGATCCAGCCATTTTTCCCAAAAGGCACTATTTCATCTTTTATACTTTATCTTAGACAAAAGGCTGAGAGACAATCTATTTCCTCTTTTTAATATCTGCATAGCATTCCATTGAGTGTGTGAGTATGTGTGCATGTGTGTATACATCACAAATTCTTTATTCTTCTGTCTGCTGCTTGTCATTTAGGTTGGTTCCATGACTTGGTCATTGTGAATAATGCTGCTGTGAACATAAGTGTGCATAAAACTTTTCACATTAGTATTTTCATATTCTTTGGATGAATAACTAGGAATGGTACTGCTAAATCATATAGTATTTTCATCTTGTTTTGTAGGAATCTCCATACCAGTTTCCTTAGAGGTTATGCCAGTTTACATTCTCACCCAACAGTGAATGAGTATTTCTTTTTGTCCGCATCTTCATCAGCTTTTGTTGTTCCCAATCTTTTTGATATACACATTCTCACAGGTGTGAGGTGATATCTCATTGTGATTTTGATTGGTATTTCTTTTATAATGAGTGATACTGAACATTTTTTCGTATGTTGTTGGCCATATGGTATGTCCTCTTTAGATAAGTGTCTATTTAGACCTTTTGCCTGTTTTTTATTGGCTTATTTGTATTTTTATTGGTGAGTTATATTAGTACTTTATATATTTTGGAAATTAACCCATTGTTGGACATGTGATGGGCAAATATCTTCTCCCAGGCATTGGGTAGCCTTTTTGTTTTTGTGATAGTTTTTTTTTTTTTAGATGTTTGACTAATATTATCAATATTTATTTCCATAAATGCTGTTTGGTGCTAGCATTTAACATTCTGCCTTTGTAAATAAAGAGCTATAACCGTCCACTTTTAAAAATGCAATGTGTGACAGAAAAATTAGATTTTGTTTATATTTCACCAAGTCATTTGGCATAAGATAGTGACAACATTGAGTTTTTGTTTCTTTTAATTTTTTACTCTGGAAATCCCAAGTTAAAGTTAGTGGCTTTTTTTTTTCCAATGCATTAGCTAACATCTAATCTGTTGTTTAGGAATTTGGAAGCTCCAGAAATCCCAGTATATTCTGTAAAGGGCCATAAAGAAATTATAAATACTATAGATGGTGTGGGTGGACTTGGAATTGGGGAAGGAGCACCTGAAATTGTGACTGGCAGCCGAGATGGTAAGTCACTCTATATATTTTAATTTTTTTAAGCTAAATCTTTATTTAACAGTATATCCTCTCCCTATGAAAATCTTTGGTAATATTGACACCCCAGTCTAACATCCTCGTTTGTTTTTTTTGTTTTTTTTTTTAAGATTTACTTATTTATGCGTACAAGAACTGGGGTGTGGGCCAGAGGTACTGGTGGTGAGAGGATTCACCAGAGACAGAGTGGGGAGCAAAACAGGCAGATGTACCGAAATACTCTGGTGAAGGGAGCAGCAGGCAAGACAGGAGAGGTCTGCTGCGCCATCTGGGTTAGCTCCCTGGCTGGGAATCAAACTCATGCCACAGTGGCTGACGATAGCTTGATAGCACTGAGACTTAACGCCTGTGCCACCAGGAAGGCCTCATTCACCTTTCTTGCTAGCTGTGTTTGATTATATATCCCTCAATTATTTGAGAGTTTGGGTATTGAGAGAGAGAGAGAGAGAGAGAGAGAGAGAGAGAGAGGCATGGAACTTACTGTTTTAGTTTTGAGCTAGTTCAAGTACTAAGAACCATAGTTTCTTATGAGCCTTGAAGGATTTCAAATTTCTTTACAGGGTTTTGAGGCAGCTGATGATATAATGTGGGTGGCAGCATTTCATTTTCTTTTTTAAAAAAGCAGAATTAGTACTTGTGAAAATTGTCATATTGACAGCTGGCTGAAAACTGAAGTTTTGTGATCCTTCCACAGAGCATTGTAGAAATCTTCAAGGGCACTGACCCTACTTTGCCACCATGTAGTGACTACCATGGGACAGGTCTTTGGTACCAAAGGTGTTCTGAATGATTGTAATCAGAATTTTGCTCGTCATGAGGGATAGATTATTTAGTTGATTTGACTATTTTTTTAATGACTGCTCAAGACCATGTGTAAATTGTTTTAAAAGAAAAGTGAAATGGTTATTTAAGTGCCTGAGCTACTGAGGGTCTAAAGTGTGGACCCAAGAATGAACCAAGATGTACAAATGAAAATAGTGATTAACAGAATGTTGATAGAAACTGAGAAAGAGAATGCCTCAAGGAGTTGCTGAGAGATAAAATAATTAAATGTGGCTGGAAAGATCAATTGAAGGCACACTGTAGAGGGGTTATTAAAGAAAAGAGTTTAGAATATATTACTGTTAATGACTTGGTGGCAGAGCCCTGGTACCTGACAGTATAAAGAAAGAGCTTCAACAAAAAATAAGAACATTCCTTGTGTAGCATGCCAGCCTTTAAGATTGAATTAGGTTGTAATGTTTTATGGTTTTATCTCTGACAGTAAAGCTTGAGAAAAATTAGGAATCATTTTCCAACATCCTTTTTTGTATAATGCTGTACTTTTTTCAGTAATGATATATACACTGTATTGATTTTCTATGATGTAATATTTTAATAAATAGCTCATGAGTACGAAAAAGAAAAGTCAGATGTAATTTTCTAATAGTTACCCAAGAATGGCTGTATTTTAGAAATCAATTTTGTTTTCAATCATAAAAGCAGTATGTAATATAGAAGGGAAACTAACATTTAATCTTTTACACTAGCATGACCATTAGAACATTTTTTCTTTCCAGTTTACATAATATATGTGTAATATATGTGTGTATATATATATATATATATAAATAAATAATATTATGTAAGCTCTCAGCAACTCTTTGAGGCATTCTCTTTCTCCAATGTCTATCAACTTTCTGTTAATCACTGTTGTCATTTTTGCATCTTGGTTTACTCTTGGGCAGCCCAGTCTTAGACCAGTAGTAGCTTGGGCGACCTAAATACCATCTCAATCTCACTTTTCTTTTAAAACAATTTCCTCATCATCTGGAGCAGTCATTGAAAAACTAGCCAAATCAACTAAATAACTATATAACATTCCATCCTATAGATGTGTCACAGTATCTTTAACCATGACCCTGATAATAAGCATTCAATTTGCTTTAAGTTTTTGTTTATTATTTTGGGAGAGTGACTTAAAAATAATGAAGAGGGCCTCCCTGGTAGCGCAAGGGTTTAAGCACAGCACTGTGGCAACTATAAACCAAAGACATTCTGTGGAGGGAGAAAAGAGAGTAGGATCAAAACAGGGGTGGGAAGAGGACAAGGGACCATGGTGATAGTTCACGGGTGAATGGGTGGTGGGAATTTCACAGGCACTATAACTGAGAAGAAAATGCATACATTGTACAAAAATGAAAAGTGATGTAAAAAATGTATAAAATTAAATAATATTTAAAAATAAAATAAAATAGATTAAAAAAAAGAAAAAGTGCAGCACTGTGAAGCTATCTGCAGCCTCTGCAGCATGAGTTCAATCCCCGTATGGCTAGGGAGCTACCCACATGGTGCAGCGGACCTCCCTTGTCTTGCCTGCAGCTTCCCTCAGCAGTGTATTCCAGTCAGTCTGCCTATTCTGTTCCCCACTCTGTCTCTGATGAATCCTCTCACACCCCCTCCCTGCACCTCGTCCTGTACCCCAGTTCTTGCATGCATAAATAAATAAATCTTTTTTAAAAAATGAAGAAATGAATATCATCATATATATAACTTCTTTGGAATGAGCATATTTTGTGTTGATCATAACGCTATAATAATACTATATAGTATGCATAATAAAATATACATAATACTATGTGTTATAGTACCATAATAATAATCAAATGTCATCATTCACTGTTGAATTTTAAAGTTATCAAACTTCCCAACATACCTATTTATGTTATCAGCTATAAGAGATGAGGTTGATTTCCAGCCATTACACAGCACTGATTTTTCCCTTTTTCCCATAATTTAATAAATAAAAATGGCACTTCATTTCAATTTGTGTTAACTCATTTCCATATTTGTGTTCTAGTTAATTTTGCTCGGAATTGTCAGTTTATATTCCTTGCACATTTAACTCTTGCAAACTTATTATAATATGAATCTTATCAATTTCTATGAGTCTTATAGAGTAGTAGAATAACCTCTTGTCACATTTGTGGGATATTTTATTCTCCTTAAAGCAGACTTTTAAGTAACCAACTTAATTTTATCCTTGGAATTATATCTAGTGAGATAGCTCCATTTTCTTGAGTTTATTATCTCTTTTAGGGATTTTTTGCCCTTTTCCGGTTTTTTCTCCTGTACTTGCCTTTTAGCCATTTTATTACATGCATTTGCATTTCTTCTTGGCAGTGACACCATTTAGTTAGTAGTCCTGTAATTTGCATTAAAATGAGAGGGTTGGAATTCAATTGAGAAGAATTATTTGTTAATATTTCCCTCTTCTCTATTGCCAAGGGAAATTAAACTTAATTGTCTATGAAATAGTATTCTAAAACGCCATGTAAGAAACCATAGATGTAAAAATTAGAGTTTATTCATTTGTCTAAGAAAAATGCCAATGATTATATGGCTTGTAAGGAAAAAAATTAAAATCGAAATGATACTGGTATTATTCTAAATAAAAACACTAGTTTTAGGCTCAAACAAAATAAGACATGGTTTGCATTACACAACATTTCTATTCTTGTCACTCATATATTGTTGATAACTTAGGAACAGTGGGGATTTTTTGTATATATTAATTTGGAAAGTAACATGGGTTATGTTTCTGATACTATTTGCAACTTGCCCAAATAGAAGTCAGTAAAATGTGAATATTTTTCAGATATTATAACATCTATAATATCACCACATATACGGAAGCCATAGGAGGAGAATGAAGACAAGAAATGCCATCATTCTTATTGACATTTTACCATCTTACTTTTATTTGTGATAGGAACTGTGAAAGTGTGGGACCCAAGGCAAAAAGATGATCCTGTTGCTAATATGGAACCTATACAAGGAGAAAACAGGAGAGACTGTTGGACCGTGGCATTTGGTAAATTATTGAAGATCTCTTGCACTAAACAGATCAGATGATAAAGTCAAGAAAGTTCTGATAGTTTCTTTTCATATTGTTTCGTGGATTATTCTGACAGTTGTTGTCAGCCTCAGGGTCCTGGATTTAAATCCTCATTGTACTACTTATGGACTCCGACCTCATCTGTTCCTTGATTGCTTTGTTTATAAAATGAAACTAGTAATACCAGTTCTATGAAATGGAACTAATAGCTAGTAATGGAACTATTAATGTCATTTTGAAGATTCAATAATTAGTACTTATTTAGGATTATGCCTAGATTATTAAGTGCTCAAAAATATTTGGTATTAATATGTACTTCTCTGTAACTACATGATATTGACCTACTTTGGAACCAAATGCTATTAGTGGGTCTGAGCAGAGCTTCAAATGCAAAGGGTCACCTAACAAATCTTACATTATACTCTACACAGAATATGTCTATTGTCTAGAAAATGGTTATGCCATTACAAAATTATTTCTTATACATTTGATAACTACATTCCTCTATTGAAATATTTTAAATGAATAATGACTTTGTGGGATTAATTGGTCATTGTTGAGCACCAACATTAAAATAACTTTGTTACTAAAGAATACGTGACATATTTTAAACCTCTGTTACTCCTTTTTTTAAAAAAATATAATCCTATGTAGATAAGACACTAAAGTGATATTTAGCTATATATATGCAAACTGTTTAACTTTTTATGTTACTTTAAAATTGAAGTGTTATTTAATCAGAGGAAAGTTTCAGTTTCCAGTTTTTAAAATAAATTATTATATGGGAATTACCTGTTTTTATATTATGAGCAATATATACAAACCTACTTTGAGGAAGAATTTCAAGATTAGTACTTAGAATCATCCAAAAATTGATAAAATAGGGCTTCCCTGGTGGCGCAGAGGTTAAGTCTTAGCACTATCAAGCGTTCGCCAGCCACTGCGGCATGAGTTCCATCCCTGGCCAGGGAGCTAATCCACATGGTGCAGCAGACCTCGCCTTCTTGGCCGCTACTCCCCTAAGCAATGTATTTCAGTCAATCAGCCTGTTCTTCTCCCCCTCTGTCTCTGGTGAATCCTCGCACCTCCTCCCCCCACACCTGTGGCTTAGACCCAGTTTTTGTATGCATAAATAAATAAAATAAATCTTTAAAAAAATTTTTAATTGATAAAATAATTAGAAAGTTATTACCTTTGGGTCCACCAATACCTTTTCATCTTTGACCTAGTTGACATAAATACAATCTTAAATGCAAGGCATTAAGTTAAAAAAATTGATCTGTTGATTTGACTGTTTTTATGACTGCCAAATATATGAAAAGTACTGTGGGCAGGCAATGATGAATCAGACTCATATTCTAGCTTCAGGAAGCTTACAGTTTAGTAAAGAAGACCTGCTATTTACATAATTATGGTACAATGTAGAAATGATAAAAAATCAAAAGAGGCATGGATAAACGCAGAAGGAATCCCATGGAGAGATGACTGGGAAGGAAGAACATTTTGACCCTAAACCAAGAATTTATAGGATTAGAACTACAGAAATTGGGAGGTAATTTCAAGCATAAGGACTAGGTTGAAAAGTGTCCAACAAAGTCTGTAGAAGGAAGGAAGTAGTGATAGGAATAGCCTTAGAGATGGCTCAGGGCCATGGCCAGATGGTCCAGAGATAGTGGTAAACCTTCGAAGGTTTTTGTAAAAATGAAGTAGGATCAGAACTTCAGAAAAATTAAACTGATGGCATATAATGGGAAAGATGAACAGCAGAAGGAATATGATTCTGAAGCTCTTGGCAGTATCCTAAGGAAGACTTAGGTTAGAAGCAATGAGACAGGGCAGAGGGGAATTGATCAGAAGATAATCTTATGACACAATAAATAGAATTTGGCAGATTTTTAAGCAAAGGGAACAAAGGCAGGAATAGGTCCAAGATGACTTGATTTTGAAGCTGATTGCGGGGCAAATGCTGTTTTAAGCTGGAAAAGTTCCATGTGGGTGGGGCATTATGATTCTTTATGGGCAGTGAGGAAGATAGTGGGATGAGTTTTGGACATCAGGAGTTTAAGATGCAGTTGTGTTGTCCAGAGAGAGCCCACAGTGTAAATGCAGGGCTAGGGTTTATGAGAAAGAAGGTATTGGGGACAGTGAACAAAAGCAATGGGACAAGATGACCAGAGAACCTACCATAGTTGCAAGGGCCTCTCAACACATTTTCCTTGGGAAGAGTATCTCCAAATAAATCCCAGGGTCCAAGCAGGATGAATTTAATCGCAGTGTACTACAAATTGTTTCAAGTTGCCTTACCAAAATGAGATCACAACAGGACACTATTTTGCAAAATAGCAATAAATCAGTTTTAAAGCTGTTTTATTCAAATATAATTCCTGCCAACAAAAGCAATGAACAACAGAACTATGTTTAAACCATAGTTGGCCTGTTTGTCTTTGCAGATACAATATAGAGAGAACTTTAGCTTTTCCCTTAGAATCAAATATACACTTTCACATATGGCTTTAGCACAGAATCGCAAACAATGAGCCTTTAAAAAAAATATTAGATACCAAATTAATAATCTTGCTATTCTGTTAGGAAAGGTAAAATGAGATTCCACCCAATGTGATATCTTTATCTGATTTGGTATAAGGTATATGTGTAGTTTCATAAGATTTTTTTCTACCTGTCTTCAAATAGCATACATAAAGATCTGAAATGTTGTGTGTTGATTTTCAGGCAATGCTTATAATCAAGAGGAACGTGTTGTTTGTGCTGGCTATGACAACGGGGATATCAAGCTGTTTGATCTAAAAAATATGTCATTGCGGTGGGAGACAAACATAAAAAATGGGGTAATGTCAATTGGGATTCCTTAGTTTCTCCGAGCATGTTTTCATCCATCTCCTCACCACCTTTGGATTGTGTTTTGAGGTTATAATGAAAACCAGGGATTCTCTCTTCAGAGAGTGAACACATGCCCTCATGTGGCATGACAATGCCAGGCAAGCCACTAGCCTCAGTGGCACATCACCACTGTGGGCCATGTAATGTGATAGTAAGATGAACTAGTAAGAGGCCCCTTTCTGCCAATGAAGCCTGAAGAGTCTCCCAGGTACTTTCAGATTTTTAGTTCTTGAGTTGTATACCTTCAATGGGGAATATAGTTCTGTCCTCTTTTCTAAAGTTAACCTTAGGGCCTCCCTGATGGTGTGGAGGTTAAAGTCTCCGCACTGTCAAGCTTTCGCCAGCCACTGCAGCAGAAGTTCAAGCCCAGGCCAGGGAGCTAACCCACTTGGGGCAGCAAACCTCTCCTGTCTCACCCGCTGCTCCCCTCAGCAATGTATTTCAGTGGATCTGCCTGTTTTGCTCCTCACTCTGTGTCTGGTGAATCCTCTCACTGCTACTCCCCTGCTCCTCCAGCTCTTATATGCATAAATAAATAAAAATAATAAATAAAATTAAGTCAACCTTAAATGTACAAAATAATTATGTAATATATATAAAAAATTAAATTATGGCTTTCTGAATGCATCTGTGGGATAAGGGAACTCAAGATGGTTTTGTTAATTTCATTAAACAAATTTTTTTATGGTTGAAAGTATGTGATACATTGGTTCAAAAATTAAATGATTGTTTAAATTTTTGCATTTATATGAGCTGATAATTTTAGCATTGTTTTTCTTAGTTTGAAAGACTTCCTGAAAAATAATTTTTAAAACATCAGTAATAAATATTCTCTCTTTTCAGGTGTGTAGCTTGGAGTTTGACAGAAAAGACATCAGTATGAATAAATTAGTAGCTACATCTCTGGAAGGAAAATTTCATGTTTTTGACATGAGAACACAGCACCCAACCAAAGGTTTTGCCTCAGTTTCAGAAAAGGTAAATAAGAAGGAAATGTCTTTCTATGAAGAAGACTGTTCATAGCTTGTTTAAGACTAATAAATAGAATTAGTCACCACAGTTCCTTCTAGGTGTTTCTATGAAGGGAGCTATTTTTAATTTATTCTTGTGGAGTCTTGACAAGTTTTTCTGTACAAAGAGTACCTTCCCAAAGTTGATCAATTTTAGACTCCTTGATTATAATAAAGACCTCATTTGGCTAGGAAGTTTAATGTGTGGCTTAGGAGCAATCACATGAAAAATAACTGATGTTAGGATCGCAGCAAAACCTACCCTGGTGTTTTCTAATAAATAAATATTTCTATTAATACTTACTCATCTTTCAAAATATCTCATATATATCATGTCATTTCATCACATTTTGTATTCCAGCTTGCTATATTAAATGAAACTATTTAAAGCATTAGTGGTTAGTACTCACACACATAAAAGCATTGTGGTTAAGTACATACTCAAAAATATTTATTCATTCATACATACATATATATTTTTCCTTTGCCTGTTCCTAATAGTATTTGAGGTCACTTAGAGGGGAACATACGGTATTACAGCATCAGAAAAACAGATGAAGAAAGCAAGGAAAAGGAAAATTCTTGATTAAAAAAATATGTCTGGAGTAAGGGGCTTACTTAAAATTCATGCTGAAACATCCTGTCATTTGCAAGAGTTGTGTTAGAAAGGTGACTCAGAGCGTCCTGAAGTATAAAAATAAGTGAATATCAGCTATAGATTTGTAGCTTCCATAGATTAAAATGTGTAGGTTGTTCAGTAAATAAAAATTCACTTCCTTGCTCATTTTCCTCCACCACAGATTCAGTAGCACGTTTCAAACCTTCATGTTTTATCTTAACAATAATCATTATTGTATGTAAATTACTGTCACTGCCTGATGAACTGAATTCTTTGCAGTACGATTATACATTGTGATATTATTGAATATTTTGTCTTTGTCATTTTAGAATATATTAATATCTATCAACAGTAGAAAGCACTTTACTAAATTGTTCCATATATGTAAATTGTAATATATTTCTCAGGATCTGCAAATTGTAGTTTTGTCTGCAAAATTTTTTGGTTATATTTTAGTTAATACAGTAGTTGCTAAGTGTGTCTGATGTATTTTGAGGTCATCTCCCCTCTTGCGTTTTGTGCTTTTATTAACTTCCAGAAGAAAAAGAAAAGTTTAAGCCACAAACCAAAATAAATTTAAACGATTTGAACCTAATCATTTGAGGACTCTGACACACTTACAAAATGTACATTTTAAGATGTTGTGTTTTATCTGCTGGTGTGAATTCTTTTAAAAAGACGATTAAAATCAAGTGTCAGAACTCATCAGTCACTAAAATGTAAAGTGCCTAAATGTGGCATGTTTTGAGTCTTTCAGTCTCATTGCTTCTGCATTCCTTCCTCCCTTCCTGCTTTCTTTGCCTGTCTGTCTCCCTTCAATTCTCCACAGTGAATATAGCACTGTTGGCAGAGATTTACTGGCTGTGTTAAGATGCTAACAAGTATTAACCTTCCTGTGGCTGGTTTTTATCTTTCAGTTTAATACTACTGATAAAGGCCCTTGCTTATTATTTCCATAAACACCATATATGTCCTCATGGTCCTTATTTTGAAGACAAGTCTAAAGCTGATGAATTAAAGATAAGGCTCAAGGAGCTTTAAGTTAAAATTCATTCTCTATATGGGAATTCAATTCTTCCCACTCAATTTTGCTGTGAACCTGAAACTGCTGTTTTTTAAGTCTATATTAAGAAAATTCAGGCTAACCTTTTTTTCCCTTTTGGAGGGAGAATGTTTTTGTATTTTCAGTTTCTTTCCCCCTCCAACTGAGCTGCAGATATTAAAATGTATAAAATCTATTTACATAATTTATGTGGTATTGCAAATATAAATGGATTTTTTAATCTAATACCATTTTTTAAGTTAGTAGAACTTTGTTTCAAAAGCAACTAAGAGAAATGATGCTTTACCTAATTTCTATGTACTTCTATAAATCTCAGCAATTATTATAAAAAGATACACTAGAAAGTAATTACTTGCATAAGATATGTTGAAAATATAGATGTGAAAATTCTTTAATTATAGGATTTGGTTTCTGGGGAAATTTTTATTCATCCGTTGTAAACCATTTGCGTGCTTCTCATCCTACATAGGCTCATAAATCTACTGTGTGGCAGGTCCGACACCTGCCCCAGAACAGGGAGCTCTTTCTGACAGCTGGGGGCGCCGGCAGCGTTCATCTCTGGAAGTAGTAAGTCTCTCCCAGTGCACATTGCTCCTTTTTAAGTTACCTGTGGGTGTAAAGTAGGATTAGCTTGAACTTTTTTTATTGTCATTTTTTTCTTCTTTGACTTAGTTCATTTTGAAATGATTTCAAATTTCATAGTTATTACATAAGTGTTATTTTCTCAGTGTTTTTTCCACTAATGTGCTTATTTTCTACTTAGTAAATACCAACTTTCTTTTGACACACTTAATTTGTCATTATAATTGTGTCTTCTTTATACTGGAATAGCTCAGGAATAGTTCTTTTTGTCGATTTGATATCATGGTTTTTGCTAGCTTATTATTTTTAGTATGAAAAATTTAACCAAAGACTTTGATCAGATACAATTGTCTAATCATTGGAACACTTCCTCTAGAAGATAGGAAAAGGGTGGGAATTCTTCATTTTAGAATCTGATAATTCACTTTCTCAAGTTCAAATAACATCATTGTGACAGAACCAGCCCAGAGAGCATGTCCCTGACTGGTCTCTAGGGAAGACCTTGTCTTTCTTTCTGCAGCTGTTGCTGGGCGCGGTGCTCTGAAGCTTCAGGGCCCTCAGGTGACAGGTCAGCTGCTTCTTGAAAAGGTCTGACAAAAGTTGGAAGTTAATGGTATTTCTTTCTCTAAACATGACTCAAGAAAAAAGATTTTTAAGAAAATCAACATAAGCCCATAAATGAAAGGTATTTAAAAAATAAAAATCATCTCACAGGTCTAGGATTTTCACATTTACAAAATACTTCTCTATTTCTTAGTTCCTTTTAGAAACTAGAAGCGGTACTGAAAAGTAGGGCCACAATTAGAAACACTTGTCACTCTTAGTTTAATTCAAAGAGTAGAGGGAGAGCTTGAAGAGTGCTGACAGAGGACCTGAGAGAGATCATTTGGAGCTTCCCTTTCCTGATGCTGTTGCCCATTGTTTTTTTGGTATTTATTTTCCACAGATGAGTGAAACCATCTGAAATCTGTCTTCCACTTTTAACTGATTTCACTCAACATAATCACCTGAAAACCCCATCTATTTTGTCCCAAGTGCCATCGGTGCATCTTTCTTCACAGCTGAGTAATATTCCATTAATATATTGATATGTTCCACCATTTCTCTATCCAGTCATCTGTTGAGGGGCACTTGGGTTGGTTCCATGATTTGGAAATTGTAAATAGTGCTGCTGTGAACATAGTTATTTTTAGTATTTTTGAAGTCAAAGTAGTGTATCATCACTGATACCTAGTAGGTTTTAAAAGACCTTCAGAGAAGTTCCTCTATATTTCACTGAAAACACATTGCCTTAGGGGGAGGGGTGTTTCTCTTTCCACTCTTTCAACTCTAAACCATATTGTATTTATGAGTTATTAAATCTTTAGCTCTTCCTATTTTATAAACTTATATTTTCAGCTGGAAGAAAATCAAATGTTGTTGGAGTTGCTTTTATCTTTGTTGAAGCAGTGGTATTTGGGTCTCAAATCTCTTGGCATTGTTCACCTGTGTTTTCTTCTATGTATTTTATAATTTCAGGTCTTAAATCCAAGTCTTTAATCCATTTTGAGTTAATTTTTGTATGTGGTGTGAGATAGAGGTCTAGTTTCATTCTTTTGCTTGTGGCTGTTCAGTTTTCCCAAGGCCATTTGATGAAGATACTTTCCTTTTTCCAATGTATAATCTTAACTCTTTGTCACAGATTGACTGTCCATATAAGTGTGAGTTTATTTCTGGGCCCACAGTTGTATTCCATTGGGGTCTGTGTGCCTGTTTTTATTTGAACACCATACTCTTTTGATTACTGTGGATTTGTGGTATAGTTTGATGTCTAGGTATATGATGCCACTGTTCTTCCTCTTGTTGGGACAGAATTGCTTTGGCTATTCTTGGAATATTTTGTGGTTCCATATAAATTTCAATAATGTTCTATTTCTTTGAAGAATGCCATTGAAACTTTGATAGGAATTGCATTGAATCTGTATATTGCTTTGGCAAAGTGGCCATTTTCACAATGTTAAATCTTCCAGTTCATGAGCAGGGAACATCTTTCCATTTCTTTGTGTCATCTTGTATGTCTTTAAACAATGCAGCACCTTCTCATGGAAATGGTACACAGAAGGTCCTTAGGCTAGGATCTGTATAGTGAAGCTGTGGGGTCAGAAACCCGTGTCAGTGTTCCATTCTGGAATTGTTCAGGAGAGATTCTGCAAGTGCTGCTTACTGCTTTTGTCTCTGCACGTAACTGTTTGTCCTAATGTCTAGCAATTTGAATCCAGAGAAGAACTATAATAAAAGTTTATGAAGAACACTGTGTAGGGCCTCTCCTGGTGGCGCAGCGGTTGAGCACTGGGCTGCAAAGCTGCCCGCAGCCTCTGCAATGCTGGTTCGATCCCTGGCCGCCGGCAAGGATCCCACATGGTGCGCAGACCTCTCCTGCCACACCCGCTGCTCCCCTCAGCAGTGTATTTCGTCAGTCTGCCTGTTCTGTTCCCCGCTCTGGCTCTGGTGATTTCTCTCACCCTCCCACGCTTCTGACTGTACCCAGTGCTTGTATAAATAAATAAATCTTTTTTTTTTTTATTAAAAAAAGCACTGTGGGGCCTCCCCGGTGGCGCAGCAGTTGAGCGCTGGGTTGCAAGGCTGCCCGCGGCCTCTGCGGCGCCGGTTCGATTCCCAGCTGCTCCCCGGCCACCGGAGGAGGTTCCCACATGGCGCGCAGACCTCTCCTGCCGCCCGCTGCTCCCCTCAGCGGTGTCCTTCGGTCCTTCTGCCTGCTCTGCTCCCTGTTCTGGCTCTGGTGAATTCTCTCACCCTCCCGCGCTTCTGACTGTACCCAGTGCATGTATAAACAAAACAAACGAACAAACAAACAAATAAATAAATAAAACATGCCTCTATAAAAGAAAAAAAAAAAAATTTAAAAAAAGCACTGTGTAAATATATCAAAGAATGCTAGATTAACCTGAAACTTTAATATTAAAAGAGAACAGAATGCTGAACAGAAATAATGTTGAAAAAGCTTAGTAGAACTAATAACCCTTTTTTATGAGATTTTGGGAGGAGGGAATTAAAGTGGAAATACGTAGTTTCTGGTTGCATACACTTCAACATTACAAAGATTCTTACAGTATTTTTAGTTCTAGTAATCAACTGAGAAATAAGTTATTGGAGTATGTGTATAAAAGTAAAATGATAATTCCTAAATTTCTCTTCTTACTACTGTGCTTTTGTTTTCAGTGAATACCCCGCTCAGCGATCCAAGAAAGATTCTGAAGGAGTAGAGATGGGAGTTGCAGGTTCTGTCAGCCTTCTGCAGAATGTTACATTGTCCACCCAGCCCATTTCAAGCTTAGACTGGAGTCCAGATAAAAGGGGCCTCTGTATCTGTAGTTCATTTGATCAAATGGTAAGAGTACTGATTATTACAAAACTCCATAAAATTTGAACTGAAAATTTTGGACTTAAAACCTTCCAGAGTAAACAGTCAGAATTTAGACCATGTTCTAGGATCCTCTGACCCTCGTTGAACAAAGTTGAATATAACTGATAGAAAAAAGGCCTCAATGCAAACTTCTGGACTGATTTCTCTCTGGGTGGGAAAGCCAAGCTCCATGTTTCTGTGACCTCATTGAATACAGGCTTGCTGCTGCGCATGGGGCATCGCCATTTCCCAGCCCTGCTCTGTTCCTCTCCTGCTGTTTCTAATGAGAAGGTGATACTTGTCTCTATCATATATCAAGTTTGTTTGGCATCCCCAGGTTTCATACTTATCATCATACTTGTGTTACATTTCAGTGTTTACACTGCTGAAGTAGGTGTCATTTAGTTTGGTTTTAAATGATTTGCCATGGTAAAACCACTGTGAATTAACCTTCATAAATATATTTTGAGAGATTTCCATGTCAGTAAGTTTCTTCTAAAAGCATTACTTTGTAAAATAACAGAATGACATGGTCTGACTAGATTTGGGTAACAGTTATTAGCAGTTTAATTCATTCATAAATTGAAATACTCTGACTTAAAAAGACCTCTTTTTTACTTAAAAAAACAAACCAGGATTTGCACTAGTGAGACTTTTGGTTGTTGGCTGTGTTTAAGTGATACTGAGATGTACAAGATTGTAGGGGGGGGTGGTGGTTTGTAGTTTGTTTTTTTTTTTCCAAATATTTTTATATGTTTTATGAATAAATTTGTTTTGGAAATCCATGGAAGCCTTGTTTCTTTTTTTTTTTTTTTTAACTTAACAATCATAAGCCAACACCATCAGTTCTTTTGCTTTATAAATGCTTGATAAGTCCCTCTTAACTCACTTTGATTCTTCAGTGTTCATTGCATCTCTAGCAAAGCTCAGAGGTAGGGGCCTCCCTGGTACACAATGGTTTAAGCATCAGCACTGTGAAGCAATCCGCAGCTACTGCTGCAGACCTCTCTTGTCTTGCCTGCTGCTCCCCTCAGCAATCCGCCTGTTCTGCTCCCAACTCTATCTCTCGTGAATCCTCTCAACCCCCACCAACCCCTTACCACACCTCTGGCCTGCACCCCAGCTCTTCTATGCATAAATAAATAAATCTTTTTTAAAAAAAAAAAAAAAGCAGAGGTAGTGTCTTTACCACATTTCCATAGGCCTACCTTCCCATTTTTCCATGCAGGAGACAGAACCACTACAACATTTATCATATATAAAAATCCTGTGATTTCGGGCCTCCTGGTGGCACAAGGAGTTAAGCACAGCACTGTGAAGCTGTCCACGGCCTCTGCAGCATGAGCTCAATCCCCAGCCTGGGAGCTTCCCACAAGGCACAACAGACCTCTCCTGTCTCACCAGCTGCTCCCCTCAGCAGTCTATTTCAGTAGATCTTCCTGTTCTGTTCCCCACTCAGTCTCTGATGAATCCTCTCACTCTCCACCTCCCCACCCCCCAGCCCCGCACCTCTGGCCTGTACCCCAGTTCTTGTATGCATAAATATTTAAGTTCAGAAAATTCACTTCTTAAGAAACTCCAAGACTATTTTATAGAACTATGTTAGGCATATAATGATGGAGATTAAAAATTAAATTGACCTTTAAAGTGCCTATCCCTATTGAGTTCAAAGGAAAACCAAAACGTATGAAATTCTCTTTCAGAACACTTGTATTTGGCAGTATAATTAAAGAAATACCTGGATTTCATTAAATATAAGTTGTCATTGATTGTGAGATTATACCACCAAGAAAGAAAAATGCTGTCAATGGAACTGATATAATGCTTTCTGATTAGTGTTTCTTTAATACTGATTTTTTTTTACATATTACATATTTATATGAAAATATCAATATTTTTACATACTTAGACATTATCTATCTCTTTTCCATTATCTATCACTCTTGTGCATCCTTAAAAAGGAAAATATTCACAAAAGTACTGGTATGCCTTATCTCAAAGATCTTCCTATTCAGAGTCTGATCCTTCAAAATAATTTTTGAATTGTCACCCAACTTGTGTTTCCACTCACAATATTGTTCTTTGTGCTATGGAAAGTGTCAGTGATGCAGCATTTCTTGAAAGCATGCTTCTCTGTTCCCTTTAGGGCTTATTCTACAAATTTTGCTTTGGGGCATACATGCATGCTGTGACCACTCTGAACTGCTGCCAAGCTTACTAGGAGTGCTTCAGTTTTCTATTGCTGTATAACCACCACCATTTGTTACACAACTTAAGTCCTTTAAGACGGTAACAATCATTTGCTTTACATATGAATCAAGATCTACAGTGTCAATCAGGCAACTCCACTGAGGGCTGGAGGATCTGCTTCCAAAATGGTACTGACAAGACTAGCTGTCAGCTGGGCCCTCTGCCAGGTGAGCACCAGGGGCTTCTCCACGTGGCCTGGGCTTGCTCAGAGCATGGTGGCTGGGTTCCAAGCTTGAGCATCTTAGAAGAGAAAGCTAGGGAAAGGCAACATCATCGTTCAGTGTCTTAGCTTCATAACTCATTTTGCATCACTTTTGCATATTCTGTCCGTGGAGGTAGTCACCAAGGCCCTCCCCAAATTTAAGGGAAGAGGAATATAATTCCATTTCTTGATGGGGGCTTGGTTAGGTTCTGGAGGAGCATGTGAGGATTGAAATAATATGACCATTATTGGAAAACAGAATCTGGCACAGTGATTATAAGATACATCCCAATTTCAAAGATGTAAAAATGCTTCTTAGACTTGATGAAATTCATTACTTGGAATGGAGAGGCCCTCTCCTCATCTGCCTATCCTACTCTTTTGCAGACAATACTAACCAGTCATGGTACTTGTTTTCTCTGTGTGTTAAAACACACTCTGCAAGGAGCCACTACTAACCACTAGCAGGCGCACTCAGACTTACTCTCCTGACTCTAGAGAGCGAAGCCTTTGGAGGCCAGCTTGCCTCCTGGACCAATGGCAGTTCCCCAATGTGGACCTCCTCCATCTTGGGCTTGCTTTCTAAGTATACCAAGAAATGATGAGGCTCTCCTGCCCTGGGCCATATAAGCCAAACATGTAAAACTCAAAATGGCACTGCACTCATATATAAAAAGGGATGGGTCTTTCAGGTACGGTACCTGAATGATTAGTTTTGCCAGCTGGTGCGATTTCTTCATGTCAACTTGTTAGGGGGAAAAGGATGTCCTAAAGCCCGGCCAGCTCTGAGAGTGCCTTTGGGTTTCCAGGTCGGCGGATTGGATAGGATGCATTAAAGACTTTATTTCCCTATTTTCTCCCTGAGTTGTACATTTCCTTAATTCCCTTTCCCTTGTAAATAAACCTTTTATTATCCTTTTGTGTGTGCCTGTAGTGGAGTATTAATAAGTCCCTTTTAAGCACACGGGTGAGGACCCACAGCCAGGCAACCCGTTTTATATCGGGGTTGCCCTATAACAAACTTACCAAGGGTGCTCTACTGGGTTTCCAATGAGTGTGGCTTCCAGTGAGTGTGGAAGGAGAAAGATATTGAGGATAATTCACCAGGCCTAGTGAGCCCTGAGAAAATTCCAGAGCAGTGAGGCCCTTGCATGTAGTGCATATTCTTACTTCAAATTTGCTTTCATTCTTCTTTAGTTTGCACTGACATAGCACACTTTGCTAGGTGTGATAGTAAATGATGTTTTGGTAAGGGCTTTTGGAGGAATTCTCATTGTGGGGCTTTATAAAGAAGTGCTGTTCCTTTGGTCACCAGATTGTCCCCTCAAGTATGTAAAGCCTGTAGGCTTTAGACACATGGCTGGCTTGTGCAGTCTGAATTGAATATTGTAATCTGCACTCAAACGCTAAGTGGGCAATTGGATTTTAGCTATGTTTCTAAAAAGGACTGGTTAGTTATTTTTGCCCAGGAAGCTCCCACCACTGAATGTCTGCACCCCCACACACTCCATTTGTGTTGTGTGGCTCCCACCTCATTACTCCAGATGGAACTAGGCTGCCAGCACAGAGCTCTCCCATAGAGCCAGACCAGCAGACCCACTTAGCAGGGTACCGATGCTGCCCTCCCGAGAAGGCCGAGGGCACTGGGATCCTGCTGCCCTGACACCTCTTAACAGAAGCACAGTTGACAGTACCTGTTGATGGAAGTTCTGTCATCCAACTAGCTGAGGACTTGGGGCTGCTAGGACAATGTCTGCAGTTCTATTACACCCTTAGTGCTGACTGGGGTGATGAGAAATTCTTTGGTCAGTGGATTTCCCACTCTGCCTTCCCTACAGGGGAGGGCAAGTAGCAGCACATGATCATTACCATGGCCTATGTGACTGTCCACAGATTTTGTATTTCATCAAACATCAAGCTTGAAAGAAGGAACAGGGTTTTAACTTTGTGCTCCTAAATCATAAAGGGAGATTGAGGCTAAAAACAACTTTTACTCCCAAGAAAAACATCAATGTCAATGTCAGAACTAGCTTTGACTATGACCAAATGCTACTGCACTTATACAGTAGCACGGGGGTGATTTTTGTGAAGGATTCTACAGTAATTGAACTTGTGTTCTAATCAAGTTAGTTGGTAATAGAAATTACAAAGTAATGACAACATGAATAATACTGATGCCGGTGTGTCTAACAACTGCTGCAGCTTTACCACGAGTTCTTGTCTCGCGAAACCGTAGAAAGGAATTCAGACTTTTGGAGTAAGTAAGCAGAGAGAGACAAATCTTGTCTTTGAAAGAAAAGTTTATTTAGGAAGAAAAGAGACAAAGAAGAAAGACTCCCAGGTATAAAGTACCTGGGAGGGGCCAAGATGAGCCGGTATGGGATATTACATTGGCAATATATAATTTTTCTCTCTCACTATGTTAAAAGTTTAGTCTCTCTTCCTGATTGGCTAGCTTTCAGGGGGTACTAAGGAATTTCACATTCCTTATTTTAACAGTATTTTCTTTTCCCATTTGTTATGCTTATCGCTTTACCTTTATGGTCTAGCCCTCCCGGTGAGCATCTTTACACTTTATCTTATCAACCAGGACCATCCTCAACAAGATTATCTGTGGTGCTAGGATGTTTGTTTTTCCCCTAGTGTTAACAATGGTGCTAGGAAGTTTGTTTTTCCCAGTGAAATTGGTTTCATTTCCTTGCTTGTCCTTATCTCTGAAGCCTCCCTAAATTCTTCAGAGGTCCCCTCCTGCACTGTCCCTAAAACTGCCTAATAACCCTAGCTTGCCCTGTCTCAATACCAAAAACAGTCCACTTTAACTTGTTAAGCTATCTCTACTGATTCAGCTATAGCTGAACCTAAAAATGGTTTTATTTCCTTTGAGTTGAAATGGTTAAATTTCCTTTGAGTTAATTCTGGCTGCTATGGTAAATTCGAGAATAATGAGAGATCTGACTCTTTCAGCCTTGTTTTTCCAACATTCGCATTTTATTTCTTTCACCTCATCATCCAGTGTGGCTGCTCCAACCCCAAGCATCACGTCTACATTCCAGTCATCAGGCAAGTAGGAAAAGTAAGAAAAAGGATATCCTGCCAGTTTAAAGAACCCACTTCTGCTTTTACCTCATTTGCCCATCATGTGGCCACACACAGAGTAAGACTGAGAAACGTAGACTTCATTTTGGGCAAATACTTGGTTCACATCCAGGTGTTCTGGTACTAAAGGAGACAGGATTTGGGAGACAGAAGTGGATTCTGTCACAGTATGACAACAGTTACGCACAAATTCTCCCTGGCTAAATTCTTCC